ATCAAAATAGTTATATAGTTTTGCCCTAACCGCACTCTTCAATCGTCTGTATGAAACAGTCCACAATCTCGGAAAATCTCACTCTATAGGCCCTCGGCAGAAATGCACCAAGCATACAAGAAACAGATGGTCTTATTAAGGTGGCAAGGGGTGTTTATTTTGATCCGTGATGACGTGCGCGGAATCGGCTACTATTCCGATAGTCTGTCTAGCACGTGCTAACCTCAAACAAGGTCATGTCGTCACTATGGAAACCTTTAGTATAGACCTTTTCCTTTTCTGATGAATGATCGATGTAAGATGACGTCGGTAAAGAGTTCTGAGGAAATATGACAGGTTTTCGTCATTTGGTCTGTCTAGAGTCTTCTCGTCTATATGAATTCCGTATGTTAAGATTTACCGACGAGCACTGTACACGAGATATACAGCATATTTTCCGTTCATAATTTTGTATTAACCAATTAATATTAGCATCTTTCGTGAATGTGCTCACAGGGTCTGGAGAATAAATTATAACATATATTACACGACTTGGCTATGGAAACTGTGGGTTTAACCTCTGTTAAGCCAGAGAAATTCTAATATGGCTTCGGATACACAAATGTGTCATTTCGGCCTCTCTGAATGTTTGGGGAAAATCGTTACAAGATGTAGTATTTGTGATTTCTATACCTCTGTAACGTGATCGTGTGACAAATGATCTGCTGATTTACATATCTATAAATGTCACGTATTTGTGTTCTACTCTTTCTATAAACCGAAGTTACCCGAGGCTAACGCTAGCTGGTCAAACAGTACGGCGCATTATTCAAGCACAAAAACAGAAGGGCAGATTTTCCGGAACTGCGAGACGAATGCCTGATCTTGGCGATGTCCATTTGTACTCATTGTTAATACATATGAGCCCTTGTTTATAAACAGAAACCTGGCAGGATGGTTTATTTAACTACAAACAAATGGTGTTTGTCTATTTAACCCCGTGCCTACTTAGCAACAAGACGGGCATTGGTTACCAAGGAAAAACTTAAACGGCCAAAATGAATAATTTGTAATAGCTTTGGTTACCATGACTGCGACTAACTCCGTCATGTAGCCCGATCTGACCCTTTTACCCCTGGTAACATCACAGAATTAAGAATATTGGGCATGGTTTACCCCCTCTACCTGCAAACGCCAAAATCTCGGCTGTTTCCCTCGAATATCGGGATTGGCAGTTAGCCTTAATGTTGCTATGTACCATGTAACAAAAACATCAATGCTAAAACATTGAGAGGTTACTTATGTAAAGGATCATTACAAAATCGGAATTTCTCTTAACTCTTCCATCTAAAAACATTAGACGCATGGAGAAATTCTACAGCATTAGAATACTGCGAAAGTCTTTGAAGAATAAGTTTTCTTCCATGCCTTAGTTTTGGAAAGTTGGGTCAATCCATACTAGTATTGTTACACAAATGCAGCCTTCTGTTCGTTTTTCTGGCGCCACTCATAAAACATTGGTCGGATTAATACTTAACAACGTGAGATATTCGTTATACACAAAACCTGTGCTGTTTTCATTGCTATAGATATAACCAACAATAAAATTTACGAATTAGGCTTAAGATGAAATATGTACATTTATTTGACATCGACGAAAAAAGTTATCCTCGAAAGGATGTATAAGGCTTAAACCACGAAAACAAAACTCACGAACATTTTATGTTTTACAGTATGCCAGGTCGGTGTCGAGGTTCCAGCGTCGACGAATATGTTCTATTACGGGTATTTGACGTTGACTTTAGTTCTGACGTAAAATGGTAAACATTATTGTTTATTTATTTATAATATACATGTCACTTACATTGAGTTAACACAAGTTCATCGCTGATTTAGATAAAGAAGCAGATGAGGGCCTTTCTGAGCGAGTTAGTAACCATGTTTCGGCAGCCTTTATCAGCCGGCGTATCTCTTTATCGGTGTTGTTGTAAAGCCTGGTACACGTGTTCCGGTGACACAAACATCCCCGCGGGTCAGAGCAGTGACGTACCCTGAAGTGAAGTTACTGGCCCGAAGGACCGACACAGGGCCATGAGAATCCTGACTATTTTATATATCCGTGATAGTTTGATATTATTTACACAGAGCAATAGGGTGACATATTTATAAAGTATTTTCGATGAATGTGTAAAATTATTCCCATGAAAACTTTCTCTTCTTTACAAGGCTGTAATTCAAGAACGCCAATCATTGTTTCCTTTTTTTTACATAAGTTTCCCCCCAATTCAATACACTCAGTTAAGCAGAAGGATTGAGCAAAAGAAACGAGTCTTCTCCACAATGACCTTACTCGCTTGGGAATCTCGTGTCACATAATAATGAACAGATGGTATCATGAGTTCTTCGGAAGTTTCAGAAATGAACAAAACAAAAAACTATGGAGCGATTACAATTTTCGATGTCAAAGGGTTTCATAGAAATCTGAAGTTCTGCTATAATCACTTTTTTTTTCTTTTGGGTTGTACCTCTTTGTTGTAACGGTATTACATATTGAAAGCGGCAAGTTCCTTCCAAATTATGTACAGCGAGATACCACTGCATTGTGTAGCTACCAGACACACTAGTCCTCATTACCTTGGCGACTGAACATTTGTTTAGGCTATCAACACTCATTAGTTAATTGTACACACGCTAAGCCAATATGCATCTCTCCAAAAGAGCGTCTCGCATACGCATAACTTTCAGGGGTCAAAGGTCATGTTTTGATACAGGAAATGAAAAAGACCTCGAAATTGACAACCATCATAAATTGCTTGATGTAAGTAGCAGACGCTCGAGGGAACCTGGCTGTTGTTACCAAGACAACGCACTTCACCGCCAACACGTGTTAAAACAGTACACATTCCAATGTCACATTTTCAAGGTCAAAACTTTCCATCATATAATGATTGATGAACATAGATAATTATGTTCATTTATTTGATAATATATTTTACTAAAAGAGGTAATAAACCAATTCATTAATATCAAGGCTAAGGGGAGATAATTCATGTTAATAAAAGAAATCTTCAGCAATTTAATTGACGAAACGAAAATCGAGAGCCCGTTTCCCCAACATAGTATTTAAAGAGAACGACAATGTTTACTTTGAAACCTTGATCATTTTGAAATGTATTTACCGAAGCACAATAATGAAACTTTCAAGTTTTTTCTACTTTCTATTTCAATGGCCTTAAATGTGGAGCAATTTCATTTATTAGAGCACATTTGGAAGTAGCCGTTTCTTATCATTTTCTGTTAATTATAAAGACATTTTATCATGAAAACTAAATATGATCCAAGAGAATTCATAAGAGAAAATATAATGACTCTGAGCATTATAGATCTTCAGAAGAAGTGAAAGACAACAGGGAAGATCATATGAAATAAATTTAAATGATTGAAAATAGCAAGGTATTACCTAGTAGGATAAAATGACTGTATAGCTGTTATTTGTACAACTTTAAATGGAAAGAAAAAAAAAAAAAAAAAAAAGTTTAATGAATTAAAATTTCTCTAGATTATCAGAGGATGCATAAATTTTGAAAAATTTTGGATGTCAAATATGTGATCAATGATTAATCAAGTACCAGTATAATTGAAAGAGATTTGATAACAACTTATGCTCATAAACTGTAGTATACTGTAAAACCATGTAAAAAAAACTATGTATTATTTATCATTTAATCCCTTACTTCCAAACAAAGTGTTACAATACCCTCGGATACTTGGAAATTAACAAGTTGTCTTGTGATGGTATGCACTGTATTTATGAAGTGCATAGGATACCAGATGTGTTAATACCCGATAAAAAAAGTGCGAAAATCTCATCCCTGCAAAAATTAATTTACAAGTTATCAAATTATTTCAGTATAATAAAAATATGAAATAAAATAAATAATATATTCCAAGAGTTTTAGTGAAATAAACAACATACAGCAAGCAATCAGTTCTTTCAATACAGAATGTAAAAATTCCAGGAATTTCCACCTCTTCCGGTAAGTTTGAATTATTTCTCTTAAATATTTTCTTGGATAGATTTAAAAGCAACTGTCAATAGAGCTTTGGGGTCAGGTCAGATCAGCAATGAATTACCTATCCAGATGGGTAAAGTGCTTTCTGTGAGGCTGACTTAAGAGATGTCAAGAAGAACAAAAACAGATTTAGTATCTGTGATGTAACAACATTAACACCAAACCTCAATAACAATTTATTATTGTTCATTATCTTACAACATTTCACAAATGCTGAACACTACTTATTCCCATTGATGTACTCGAGAATTAAGAAGCTCATCACATCACAAGCAGATGTCTATTTCACTCTTATTCCATCACGACTGTGATTATGTAACATCACATAGTACATGTGGTAGATTTTGATCAATTGCACCTGGTGTAAAGTCCACACCATTAAACTACCCAGCAGGTACTTCTAACAGTCGACAGTTGTCACTTATTTTGTATTACAGAAACACTTTATTAGCCTATTTACTTGTTTCCATGTCTCCATCATGTTGTAATATACAGTTGCTTACATGTGTCACTATCCAGGTATATACAACTTCATGTCTTCATCAAATTGTGATATACAGTTGTTGACATGTGTCACAGTCCAGGTATAAACAAGCTCATGTCAACATCTAGTTGTGATATACAGTTGTTGACATGTGTCACAGTCCAGGTATATACAACCTCATGTCTACATCAGGTTGTGACTTACAGTTGCTGACATGTGTCACTATCCAGGTATATACAACCTCATGTCTTCATCAAATTGTGATATACAGTTGTTGACATGTGTCACTTTCCAGGTATATACAGTTGTTGACATATGTTACTGTCCAGGTATATACAACCTCATGTCTCCATCAAGTTGTGATGTACTGTTGATGACATGTGTCTCTATCCAGGTATATACAACCTCATGTATATACAGTTTTTGACATGTGTCACTGTCTATATACATCAAAAGTTGTGATGTACTGTTGATGACATGTGTCTCTATCCAGGTATATACAACCTCATGTCTACATCCAGTTGTGATTTACAGTTTTTGACATGTTTCACAGTCCAGGTATATACAACCTCATGTCAACATCTAGTTGTGATATACAGTTGTTGACATGTGTCACAGTCCAGGTATATACAACTTCATGTCTTCATCAAATTGTGATATACAGTTGTTGACATGTGTCACTTTCCAGGTATATACAGTTGTTGACATATGTTACTGTCCAGGTATATACAACCTCATGTCTCCATCAAGTTGTGATGTACTGTTGATGACATGTGTCTCTATCCAGGTATATACAACCTCATGTCTACATCCAGTTGTGATTTACAGTTTTTGACATGTGTCACTGTCCAGGTATATACAACCTCATGTCTCCATCAAGTTGTGATGTACTGTTGATGACATGTGTCTCTATCCAGGTATATACAACCTCATGTCTACATCCAGTTGTGATTTACAGTTTTTGACATGTGTCACTGTCCAGGTATATACAACCTCATGTCTCCATCAAGTTGTGATGTACTGTTGATGACATGTGTCTCTATCCAGGTATATACAACCTCATGTCTACATCCAGTTGTGATTTACAGTTTTTGACATGTGTCACAGTCCAGGTATATACAACCTCATGTCAACATCTAGTTGTGATATACAGTTGTTGACATGTGTCACAGTCCAGGTATATACAACCTCATGTCTACATCAGGTTGTGACTTACAGTTTTTGACATGTGTCTCTATCCAGGTATAAACGACCTCATGTCTACATCAGGTTGTGATATACCGTTGTTGAAGCATGTTATGTCGGCAAGACCCCATATCAACATCAGAGATTCATTAGTTCTGTCTACAATTGCATTTGATTTTGACCTCACAGCACCAGTGGTAGCCAGGTATTTCCCACATTCTCATAAGAATTTCCAATATCTTTACTCAGCTTCTGACTAATATTATGTGTTTTTTGAATACTCAAATTCAAAATAAATATGATTTCAAGTTTTCCTCAAGAATTAGTTGAATAATATATATTTAATCTAACTATTCTGGAGAAACTCTGTTGGAGAAAGTCTTGGTTGAAATGAGTGATGGCCACAGAAAGCTCTGTAAATTTGACTCCAACACTTGAATTCATCATGATAAGGACTGACATAACGTTACTGGACAGTAGCATTTCTGGATGGTCAGACTGATGCAGCACAGGCTTTTCGCACACTCATCTCCTGAAATGTATAACAAAAATTATTTGAAATGTGTTTTTTATGTTATTTTTATGGGAAGGGGATTGGGAATTATTTGATAATTCTAACAAAATGTAGTTTGTTAATAATAGTCTTAGCTAACTGAACATTATTTTAATAACTCATTAGACTCTGCATAAAATGCATACTACAGACAATTTACTGTACTGCAGTAAATATTTGTGGCTGTTCTCCATCCTACGATTGTATGATATTAACACATTGACTGCTGACACTATCAAGGCCAAACACAAATATAATTTAGTCCCTTGCCAGCTTTTATCATTGGTACACACAGCCTTGGATTTCCAGACCAAGTAATTTGCTTCCTTGTCTGGAGACATTTCTGATCAGTCAATCCAAAACAGGGATCTAATCAACCATTCTGAATCCCTTACCTGTAGATAACTTTTGACCAGTCAATCGAGAGCATTCAGCTGAACAACCAATCACATGACCTTGAATAACTGATTTACAGATGATCTATGACCAGCCAATCAGAGGCATTTAACAACCATCCATCAGATGTCATGCTAAATGTGCCAAATAGCCAAGTTTGTTGCCATGGTGGCAAAACAAGGACGTGCTGAGTTGCATAACACTTTATAACGTGTCTTAGTACCAAGTACGTATGTTGCCTCACACATGGATTTGATTAAATACAAATGTTCCGACAATGCAACCACTCAGCCCAGTGGCTGTAACAATCATGTCATCCAATGCATAAATAAGGTTAAATCATGCTGTCATGGTCACTGCAATTCTAGCTGTTTGTTGTTGACTAGTAAACAAGTCCCAAGGCCACACTGCATGTTAATCTCCCGTATATAAGACAGCCTTGGGAACTGTATATTGTGTTGGAGGACACCTACCAAACCATGTTGTTTCATATCTACTGGGATGGAGGAAAGGTACATTGTCTCATTGCATTAATTTAAGAAGTTTGTGACAAATACCATTTGTACCGTTCCTCTCTCCAAATCATCATCCTCTTATCTACTGCCAAATGAGATTCCATTACTTACTTCATATAAACAAACATATCTATACCTATATCAAACTTGGGAAAAATTACGACAGGTCATTCAAATCTGGAAGCTTGTAATCAACATTTCTGTTTAATGTATATTTCGTATTCATGTATATATATACATTGCAGTCCAGGTGTTAATATAACGTAATGTGCCAATTTGCCACCATGATCATGTGGAGAATTTCCAGCTGTCTATCAGTACAACTTCCAAACATCCTATTTTGGGGATGTCGTGGTGTAATGGTTTGGCAGTTTGCAATTTCTTGGCCAAGCAATTTGATGCCATAGATCATGAGTTTGAGGCCTAGCCAGGGCACAAGTAAAAAATTATCTTCATTCAGCAATTGTTCACAACATCAAATATATCTATATATGTACAGCATCTACATATATCAAATACTAAGGCAACATACATGAAATATTTGACACGAGGTAACCAAGTTGGCAATCAAAGGGCAATTATATAAGGTCTGTTAGCTTTTTTGTCTAAAACTGCAACAGCTATGGATGGTCTTATTACTAACATCGGCTTATTACCAGATCATATAACAATTACATTTCACTTTGGACTCCTGTGATATCTGACCCCTTCAACTCTATATAACTTACCCATTTGTCTAATAGCTCTGTAAATGTAAACTTGTCAGGCATCCGTAAGAGGAGAACCTCTAGAGTATTTTGTACTGACTGCAGGAAGATGTTGGATTCTGGAAAGAAAGTAAAATGGCAAAAATATATTGTATGTAAAAATCTTATTGGAAGGGCAGTTTATCCTCCAAGTACCGGTAAGTGTTCAGTTGTATAATGTACTAAAACCAGTATTTGTCCAGGTGAGCACAGTAAACCATTCACTATTCCCTTAGACAAAGTAAATGAGAATATACCAGGTCACCAGCCATACAGGTTTTTCCATAAGTACTCCAGTCTTCCACACTGAATATTACTGAATATAATACTGAAAAATACAAATTGGCCTAACTAGTTTTTCATCACTGAAGAAAAATAGATATTTCTCTTGAGAGACATAACCTGACAGTTTTCTGCTAAGAGAATTATACAGAAACAGTAAGGTTTTGAGGACACTATATCGGTATTACTGTTTTACTTATCAATTTTCCAAACCTAAATGGATGGTCGGGTGGTAAACAGGACATGCTCTTGGGTTTCATCGAGGTGACTAGGTCTTAAATCCCTTATTGGATGTGAAAAGGAACAAGGTCACCTTATTGATCAAGTAGATTTTCCCACTGACATGCAGATTTCTTAGACCCCTTGTATGCTTCAATACAGGAAACTAGGAGTGATTAATGAAAGTGGATAGCTTGTTTAACAATTTTGGTCAGATAAAGCTTGTATCTCAAGTGCTGAATGCCTCCTTCCCCAGCAGAAAAGCCCAGGATTACACTAAGCGTGTACAATAGTACAAAAGACATACAGTACCTACTTGGTGTACTACAACAATGTGTTTTTATCCATTAGTCTACAGAAGAATGCAAACAATTTGGTATTGCAGAGAGCTGAGAGCCGGCAGCAGAAACACATAACACTTTGGTATAATGTGCTGATGATGGCTGTTCATATAAATACCTCATTCTCCCCTACACTCTGTACCTGTCCCAGTAACAGACTCCATGTCACTGGATACAATAGATATTAATTCAATAACTACCAGTAGCAGATTCATATCTGACAAATAATGTATACAGTGCACAGAGGTGACTTCTATAAAAAGATGGTGTACATAGAGAGGGAGAGGGGGGTTGGGGGGGGGGGGGGTTGGGTTGGGTTAAGGGAGTTTTCAGACAGATGACATAACAGCTGTATCAGATGATGGCATTGATAAAGAAAATTTCATACAGTGACTTTTACAAGCCAAAACCAAGAAAGGGATCCACTACACAATGGTGACCTTTCTAAATACATGATGACATATACAGAAAGGTGAACAATGATCTCTAAAAAGATAACTGCCAGGGGCCCACTTCAGGGAGAGATGACTGTTTTGTGATCTCCATGGACAATGAACACTATTTGGTGACCTCTACAGACGAAGAAGACTGTTTGGTGACCTCTTTAGATAGAGGTGACTGTTTGGTGACCTTTAAAGACAAAGATATCTGTTTGGTAACCTCTACAGACAAAGAAGACTGTTTGGTGACCTCTTTAGATAGAGGTGACTGTTTGGTGACCTCTACAGATGAAGATGACTGTTTCGTGACTTCTTTAGATAGAGGTGACTGTTTGGTGACCTTAAAAGACAAAGATATCTGTTTGGTAACCTCTACAGACAAAGATGACTGTTTGGTGACCTCTACAGACAAAGATGACTGTTTGGTAACCTCTACAGACAAAGATGACTGTTTGGTGACCTCTTTAGACAAAGGTGACTGTTTGGTGACCTCTACAGACAGAGACGACTGTTTGGTGATCTCTACAGACAGATGACTCTTTGAATATCTCTTCATACAGAGATGACTGTTTTGCAACCACTTCAGACAGAGATAACTGATGATTGACCTCTACAGAAAGAGATGTCTGTTTGGTGACCTCTACAGACAGAGATGTCTGTTTGGTGATTTCTACAGACAGAGATGACTGCTTGGTGACCTCTACAGACAGAGATGTCTATTTGGTGACCTCTACAAACAGAGATGACAGTTTGGTGATTTCTACAGACAGAGATGACTGCTTGGTGATCTCTACAGACAAAGATGACTATTTGGTGATCTTTACAGACAGAGATGTCTGTCTGGTGATCTTTACAGACATAGATGTCTGTTTGGTGATCTCCACAGACCGAGATGTCTGTTTGGTGATCTTTACAGACAGAGATGACTGTTTGGTGATCTCCACAGACCGAGATGTCTGTTTGGTGATCTTTACAGACAGAGATGACTGTTTGGTGACCTCTACAGACAGAGATGACAGTTTGGTGATCTCTACAGACAGAGATGACACCTTGGTGATCTCTACAGCGATGACTGCTTGGTGATCTCTACAGACAAAGATGACTATTTGGTGATCTTTACAGACAGAGATGTCTGTCTGGTGATCTTTATAGACATAGATGTCTGTTTGGTGATCTCCACAAACCGAGATGTCTGTTTGGTGATCTTTACAGACAGAGATGACTGTTTGGTGATCTCCACAGACCGAGATGTCTGTTTGGTGATCTTTACAGACAGAGATGACTGTTTGGTGATCTCCACAGACCGAGATGTCTGTTTGGTGATCTTTACAGACAGAGATGACTGTTTGGTGACCTCTACAGACAGAGATGACTGTTTGGTGATCTCTACAGACAGAGATGACTGTTTGGTGATCTCTACAGACAGAGATGACTGTTTGGTGATCTCCACAGACCGAGATGTCTGTTTGGTGATCTTTACAGAGATAAATGTCTGTTTGGTGACCTCTACAGACAGAGATGACTGTTTGGTGATCTCCACAGACCGAGATGTCTGTTTGGTGATCTTTACAGACAGAGATGACTGTTTGGTGACCTCTACAGACAGAGATGACTGTTTGGTGATCTCTACAGACAGAGATGACTGTTTGGTGATCTTTACAGACAGAGATGACTGTTTGGTGATCTCTACAGACAGAGATGACTGTTTGGTGACCTCTACAGACAGAGATGACTGTTTGGTGATCTCTACAGACAGATGACTCTTTGAATATCTCTACAGACAGAGATGACTGTTTTGTGACTTCTTTAGATAGAGGTGACTGTTTGGTGACCTTAAAAGACAAAGATATCTGTTTGGTAACCTCTACAGACAAAGATGACTGTTTGGTGACCTCTTTAGACAAAGGTGACTGTTTGGTGATCTCTACAAACAGAGACGACTGTTTGGTGATCTATACAGACAGATGACTCTTTGAATATCTCTTCATACAGATATGACTGCTTTGCAACCACTTCAGACAGAGATAACTGATGATTGACCTCTACCGAAAGGGATGTCTGTTTGGTGATCTCTACAGAAAGAGATGTCTGTTTGGTGACCTCTACAGACAGAGATGACAGTTTGGTGATCTCTACAGACAGAGATGACTGTTTGGTGATCTCTACAGACAGAGATGACTGTTTGGTGATCTCTGCCGACAGAGATGACTGTTTGGTGATCTCTACAGACAGTGATGACAGCTTGGTGATCTCTACAGAGATGACTGCTTGGTGATCTTTACAGACAGAGATGACTATTTGGTGATCTTTACAGACAGAGATGTCTGTCTTGTGATCTTTACAGACATAGATGTCTGTTTGGTGACCTCTACAGACAGAGATGACTGTTTGGTGATCTCCACAGACAGAGATGACTGTTTGGTGATCTCTACAGACAGAAATGTCTGTTTGGTGACCTCTACAGACAGAGATGACTGTTTGGTGATCTCCACAGACAGAGATGACTGTTTGGTGATCTCTACAGACAGAAATGTCTGTTTGGTGACCTCTACAGACAGATGACTCTTTGAATATCTCTTCATACAGAGATGACTGATGATTGACCTCTACAGACAGAGATGACTGTTTGGTGATCTCCACAGACAGAGATGACTGTTTGGTGATCTCTACAGACAGAAATGTCTGTTTGGTGACCTCTACAGACAGAGATGACTGTTTGGTGATCTCTGCCGACAGAGATGACTGTTTGGTGATCTCTACAGACAGTGATGACAGCTTGGTGATCTCTACAGAGATGTCTATTTGGTGACCTCTACAGACAGAGATGACAGTTTGGTGATCTCTACAGACAGTGATGACAGCTTGGTGATCTCTACAGAGATGACTGCTTGGTGATCTTTACAGACAGAGATGACTATTTGGTGATCTTTACAGACAGAGATGTCTGTCTGGTGATCTTTACAGACAGAGATGTCTGTCTGGTGATCTTTACAGACAGAGATGACTGCTTGGTGATCTCTACAGAGATGACTGTTTGGTGATCTCTACAGACAGAGATGACTGTTTGGTGATCTCTACAGACAGAGATGACTGTTTGGTGACCTCTACAGACAGAGATGACTGTTTGGTGACCTCTACAGACAAAGATGACTATTTGGTGACCTCTACAGACAGAGATGTCTATTGGTGATCTCTACAGACAGAGATGACTGTTTGGTGATCTTTACAGACAGAGATGTCTGTTTGGTGACCTCTACAGACAGGGATGACTGTTTGGTGACCTCTACAGACAGAGATGTCTATTTGGTGATCTCTACAGACGGAGATGTCTGTTTGGTGATCTCCACAGACAGAGATGTCTGTTTGGTGACCTCTACAGACAGAGATGACTGTTTGGCGACCTCTACAGACAGAGATGACAGTTTGGTGATCTTTACAGACAGAGATGACTGTTTTTAATTCATTTCAGGTACATTTGTATGTTATTCAATATACTTCATTTACAAAAAATTATCCTTCCTCCTACTAACTTGCTTAATGTGTAGACCAACTAATCTCTGGTGCATACTAACTAGCCAACCATGTAAACAGTATAGACCATTTATACATACTAACCTGAGTATAATGACTATCCTGCCAAGTGTACCAACTAGTCTGCCGTTTATACCGACCAGCCACCCTTAATAACAAGTAGCCTGCCATGTATACCAACTAGTTCATTGTGTATACAGACTAGCCTGCTGTGTATACTAACTAGTTCATTGTGTATACAGACTAGCCTGCCATGTATACCAAGTAGTTCATTGTGTATACAGACTAGCCTGCCATGTATACCAACTAGTTCATTGTGTATACAGACTAGCCTGCCATGTATACCAACTAGTTCATTGTGTATACAGACTAGCCTGCCATGTATACCAAGTAGTTCATTGTGTATACAGACTAGCCTGCCATGTATACCAACTAGTTCATTGTGTATACAGACTAGCCTGCCATGTATACCAACTAGTTCATTGTGTATACAGACTAGCCTGCCATGTATACCAACTAGTTCATTGTGTATACAGACTAGCCTGCCATGTATACCAACTAGTTCATTGTGTATACAGACTAGCCTGCCATGTATACCAACTAGTTCATTGTGTATACAGACTAGCCTGCCATGTATACCAACTAGTTCATTGTGTATACAGACTAGCCTGCCATGTATACCAACTAGTTCATTGTGTATACAGACTAGCCTGCCATGTATACCAAGTAGTCCATTGTGTATACAGACTAGCCTGCCATGTATACCAACTAGTTCATTGTGTATACAGACTAGCCTGCCATGTATACCAACTAGTTCATTGTGTATACAGACTAGCCTGCCATGTATACCAACTAGTCCATAGTGTATACAGACTAGCCTGCCATGTATACCAACTAGTCCATTGTGTATACAGACTAGCCTGCCATGTATACCAACTAGTTCATTGTGTATACAGACTAGCCTGCCATGTATACCAAGTAGTCCATTGTGTATACAGACTAGCCTGCTGTGTATACCAACTAGTCCATAGTGTATACAGACTAGCCTGCCATGTATACCAACTAGTTCATTGTGTATACAGACTAGCCTGCTGTGTATACCAACTAGTTCATTGTGTATACAGACTAGCCTGCCATGTATACCAACTAGTTCATTGTGTATACAGACTAGCCTGCCATGTATACCAAGTAGTCCATTGTGTATACAGACTAGCCTGCTGTGTATACCAACTAGTCCATAGTGTATACAGACTAGCCTGCCATGTATACCAACTAGTTCATTGTGTATACAGACTAGCCTGCTGTGTATACCAACTAGTTCATTGTGTATACAGACTAGCCTGCCATGTATACCAAGTAGTCCATAGTGTATACAGACTAGCCCGCCATGTATAGCGACTAGTCCATCGTGTATACAGACTAGCCTGCCATGTATAGCGACTAGTCTATCGTGTATACAGACTAGCCTGCCATGTATAGCGACTAGTCCATCGTGTGTACAGACTGCAGTAGAGCAGGAAGTGCATGAGCCCTTAATGCTTTAGACTTGAAAGAGATGTCATTTTTTGTAGACCTGCTCAATAAAGGAAATAAACAGTAATGTTTTTACTACAAAACGGTAAATATGAGTTAGAAAATAACTGATGTACAAAAAAAGCATTCTCAATAACATGACCATGCAGTACAGCATGGGCGCTAAGACAGAAACAAACACTTGTGTGCCTGATAGATTCACTACCATGATATCAGAGTATGTGCAACACTTGTAACTCGTTGCCGAAGGAGACAAATTATTTCTCTGTACTTAATGAAGCGTGGGAAAGTTTGATTAAAAGTACCTGCTAATAAACACTCAACCTGCCTGGTTAATATTTTGAATCCCTACAAAGTTTAACACTAGTTGTGCTGTCTCTATTAAGTAAAATGTTAACTGATCAGCTGTGTATCATTCTTTAATTGCCTCCATTTTCCTCCTTTTTTTTAACTGAGGAAATTGTTAATGATCAACAGCAATTTAAATGCATCTGGTTTGACTTGCAGACCCCAGGTGTTAACCAAGTTTGTCAGTTCTCTATTTGTTTTTGACAGAGAAGGCTAAGCTCACCAGACTCATGCTTGATAACTAAACTGACTTTTTCTATTTATGCCATGTTCATGTTTGAATGGGTCTTTTTCTTGATACAGACTTGCCATTAATGCTTCCATACAGAGATTAAATCGCTTTTAAAATATTTTTTGGAGGAAGAGGAGTCAATAATGGGCCCCATTCTCAAATTGAATATATTTCATACTTCCCAAATTCAAATATTTAATACAGACGATAAGCATGGAGCTCAATATGGTGAGATTATAATGAAATAATGGTCTTTGATCTTTTCTAAAAGACATGTTAGATCAACATTGGGACCAATCCTTTTTATAAAAGTATTCTCCATTCTGTATTTCCAAATAAGAAAATTTTCAAAGAATTCTAAATTGCTTTTGAACATCCTGAGAATTATTGGTATCATGTACGTTACAGTTGGTTATATCTACAGAGGATTGGATTGTGCTGTATTCGTGGTCATTAAGAAGGTACAAAATTTAAAAACCTAGTAAATATGTTTACAGTGAATGGAAATCTTGGGAAATACATGTTATATGCTCATGTTCATGAACACCAATGTATAGGCATGCAAAAAATTAAATCTCTGTGAACTAGCCTGAAACAGGAAAATCTGAAATAACCCTCCGAACTTAAAAAATTATATAGTATATTGTTTTTCCCGAAAAATTTAGATTTCTTAGTTTGTTGGAGATCTTTACTTATAAGAGGTAAGAAATACCACTACAATGGAAATTTGATAGAGTAATTTTCCAGACCTCCACATCTTAATTCAGACTTAAACTGTGTGTCTAGACAGGTCAGAAACGTATGTAAATCAATAACCCTTGTCAAAACAGTCAAACAAGGGGCCTGTTTCTCAGTATGTTACATTTCAGGAAATATTGATACAAGCATTGAAAGGCTTTATAAAATTTCAAGAGAAAGCAAACAAAGATCAGTTCAACCATATTTATAACAAACAACCCTGGTCCCACTTTTACAAACCTATTCATCAAAACAAACCAAATCTGGTTTATCTGAGGGAGGGGAGACAACCTGCTGAGAAGAATTACTCACCGTATTCTGTTGCTGTGGTGTCACACTCTGGACTGTTGTTGGGATACGTTCCCGGAACTTTAACAGATATGGGTGGTATACTGGGCAGGTTCTTATCATCTGTGGATAGAAATACCAGACTTATCTATACACAGAAATATCCCATACATTCTGTTAAATCACAAATGTCTATCTACTAATCCTTAAAGTACATACAAACATTTCTCATGATCAGCTAGAAACATCAGAATTAGCTTTGATAATCTCAGTGTCGCCGATTCATCTGATTTCATCAGGTCAACCTGATACTGACCATCACAATGATTTGCTCAATCCGTGAAAAATGCAAGAATCACATGCTAGTCTTTAACTTTTGATTAGTGTTTTAAAATTCCAAAACCAATTTTTTTAACAAATATAGGCAAAATAATACCATAGAACATCATGTAAATATACACAAATGTGGTAGTTATACAAGAGAAATTTTATAAGGGTCCCTTGTTATCCCTACAATGCAGCCCTTCACCTTAAACTTTTAAGGACCATGACCAGTTATTAGATGGCTAGAGGTCAGTGACACTGAAATCTGAGATACTTTGATCTGAAATCTTGGGACTCTAAATAAGGATAGAACATCAGGGTACAGACACATTTTATGTTACAGTTACACTAAAACGAGTGCTTACAGAGATAAAGCATAACTTTTTACTTCTTGTACCTCTTAAAAAAGTTACATTAGATGGACTCTGCAGATAATTCATATGTAAATGTTTGAATTATATTACAACCAACACCGATGCAAAACTGACTAAATCCTGTCTACATCAATACTGAAACAAAAATCTTTGTGGTTACCTAGGCGACAAAGAAGGTGGATATCCTTGGACCCGCCGTGTTGCGTTGGGTCAAAGTTGACTTTAAAGCGATTTCCTAGGCGTGCAATTTCGCCTTGAAGAATGTGAGGGATTTCATCATGTTCTTGTTCCTCAACACGGCGACGTTTCGGAGGTGGACTTGGCGCCCTGGAAACAATTGAAAACAATTTAATCAAAACTTTCATTCAGTGACATCTTAAGAACATATTATATGTCTCACCTGTTCTTCATCGTCTGAAATTTTTAAGTAATCTGCTAAATACAACAATAATTTATATCTGTTTTCTCCCTATAACACTGAAGTCAAATTCTGACACACTGTAAAGCAGAAAAGCTAGTAAATTCTACAGTCCTAACAACAAATACACCAAGTTTAGTTAAAGTTTGACTTATAAATTTTGAGAAACAAAACCAAACGAAAAATTTTAACAATGGAATGTTGATGACAACTGATTTTTCATTGTAAAGAATTATTCAACTGATCTTCATACTTTTTCTAAGGACTGTGTTTGCAAAGGGAACAAGGACGACTGTTGAGGCTTATTAAAATACACTTAAATAAGTTGGTGGCCAAATAATCATATAGAAATCAGTTGCTCATGAAATATAAAGATAATTTTATTAAATAGGTTCAATAATTTTATAAGGTACAATTCTTTTTATGGAAATATTGAATGATTTTGTTAAATTTCACATAATATGTATTAGTGCAAGATTCTTTTGACCACATGGCTCACATTCTTCAGAAAATCAAACAGAAAAAATATTTTCTGAAGCCAGGTAATCTATAGAATTAAGCTGGACCTTTGGTCTGTATTTCTATATCTTATTAAAATTCATCTTTATTAATATGACTACATCTGTTTCTTTATACCTGATTGGACTGCCATGTAAGGCTGTAACGGCTGGACCAAACGTCCGCTGTAAGGAGTGGTTCAACATTGGTGATGCCATGTGTGCAGCCACTGCATCTAATAATGGCTGACACATGTGAGTGGCTGTCGTTGTGGCCTTGGTGACAACTGTATCTGCTGATGGAGCCTGGAACATAAATATATAAAAGACATAAAGACTGACACTGGTGAGTGGCCGTCCTAGTGGCATTATGATGTGACGGACGTATCTGTTAACTGAGCTTGTAACATATACATGCAATGCATGTAAAGGACTTTCCTGTTGCCTTTCTAACACATATTAATGACATCAACACCACAACAAAACTTATTACAGATCAAACACATGATATATGTTACAGAATCCACAGAAATAATCTGTTAGTTATTAGGGTGTTTGGGTTTTATCGTCATAAAAACCATAAAAACTGAGAATATCAAAATGCTGATAGACTATAATATATAGATTCATTTTTTTTCAACACCCGAGGTTATATTGCCACATTTCTATGAACATTTCAATGAAGCCAGCACTCCTCTCTATCTTGTTTCAGTGTAATTTTGATTTTCTTACCAATTCTCCAGTTTTGTCCTGAAAACAAAAAGGAAAACAATCAACAAATTACATTTGAATCACAGAAACAGGTAATATTTCATGAAATACAGAGAGAAAAAATATTTATCAATAAAAAGCAACCCACAATCTTAAGGAGTTTTCACTTATGACTGAAAATTGTGAAAGTGAATGACTACATCTCCAGTAAAGTATATTACCTATTTTCCTTGCCACATACAAAAAAACATTTTATAGAAACTAGAATCATCAAAACATCAGACCTGCTGCCTGAACATCAGTTGTTGAATACACAAGGATTTGCAAAGCAAACTTACATTAACCTGACCTGTCTCAATAAATCTACAGACATGAAATGATACAAATGTCCCCCCCCTCCCCCACCCTTTTTAAAAATTCACATTTGAAAGAATTTTCACCAGGGGCCAGGTTTGATGTTTAACATTATATTTCTTAAACTCATTATTTGCCCTTGTTAAATAACATAACTATGACAATGACCTTATGAAAACGCCCTACAAAATGTGACCTTATGATCAGGTGAGATCACATCTTGCCATTTTTGACCTTATCATGTCATCTAGTACGTATGATTTAATGAGACAGGATATAGATTGATGTGACCTTTAACAGCTGACCCTGATATGACCTTGACTTACCCATTCCAGTTCAAGTTTGAGTAGCACCTGTTCACATTTGAGAAGAGTTTTCCATGGTAACCTGAAGAATAATATAGATCTTATATACCAATAAACCCTGGTCACCGTTCCGTTACAGTGATCTGGAATTTTTAATTTAGGAATCAAATGGTTCCCATTTAGTTATTTACACATTTCAAATTTTTCTGGATAATATATATCTTGAACAACATATCAATTAAGTCAGCAGAGGCTCCTATAGACCTGTCACCAACCCCTGATAATATTTCTTGTCAGTGGTCAGATGTAACTTTCTCACATTTTATCTCGGCAAATTAAGACTGAAATTAAATCAGGCATAAAATTTGATGTGATATTATGGGAATAGGATTTAAATTTGTTCACATATTCATACAATATCAAATACACTCAAGAGGAAATTTACTGAACAATATGTTACCTTTTAGAGGGATCTGTCAAGATTTCCAGTAGGTTCTTCATCTTGTGGATTTCCCTCACTCTGTCTGCAAATACAACAATACTGGCATGTCAACAGAATCTTGATTTATACAAAAACTAATGAAACAAGAGAAAAATATCCTAATAAGGAGAAAATTTACCTAGTAATCCTTAAGAAAAAGCACTTCATTACTGCTAACTCTACATCACTGTTAATCCCTCATTACTGCTAACTCTACATCACTGCTAACCTTACATCACTGTTAACACTTCATTGCTACTAATCCTACATTGCTGCTAACCCTTACCTTCATCCTTGTCTGCAGACTGTCTGTTCATCATACGACGATTTATTCTCCTAAGTGGCTCTATGTATTTAGACAGCTGGTTTAACTTGTCAAGGTAAGCTTGGTCCTCCTGTGATATTGGAGCCTGGCCAGATCCAGCGGCTAAAATCAAAGGGACATAACTCCCATCAAAAGGTATTACTACCACCAAAAGGAGAACATTCTGATAGAATGGGAGTACTCTGCCCACTATTTTTCATACCATAGGACTGAGACTCCCATCACAAAAATATATATTTTGATGACAAAGAGGCATAATTCTAATAACAAAGGGTACAGTAGCAAGGCAGCTTAGCCACTTCTTCCATGTGTACCAAAAACTGCTGAAATGATGAACTAGGTAAAAGTGATTGGCCAGTAACACAGAAATCTGTATGTCCGAATTCATAACAAAGGAACATGATTCTGATTACAAAGAAAATATTCTAATGACAAAAGGACATTTTTACTTAACTAGAAAATGTCTTGTAAGACATGAATGACTCTGGTCCCATATTTGTATAACAATGATACAATGTTTTTACACTGTAGCAAGAAGAGACTCAAGGGGCCTGCATCACTCGCCTTGCTTATTTAGCTATTCACCTATTTACTAAAGAATTTCAACTATAACAAACAATTTCTGATAAAATTTCCATATTTGGGTCCAGACCTTGTGGTCAAACAAAGGCCAGATTCACTATTCATTAAATTGCTTCAGACCAAACTTTGCCAATACCCTTGTATGGAAGGAGGATTCATATGAACTTACATTTTCCCAATTTGGCCCCATCCCTCTCGGCCTAGCTTCACCCAAGAGTACTTCAGACCAAATTTGGCCAATATCTAATAATTCCTAATGGAGAAGTAGAACTTAAAGAAATTTGTTCTTTTTCCCCAATTGGGCTCTGCCCCTCAGGCCCCAACGGGGCAGATTCCACTGACAACTGCTTCTGCTTCACCAAACAATGAAACCCACCATTTATACAAACTTGATACCCCTTTACCCAACAATGCTTCAGACCAACTTTGGGCAAAATCCTATCTGGAAGAGTAGTAATTTAAAGAATTTGCTCGTTTACCCCTCTTTAGCCCCACCCCTCAGACCCAACGGGGCCAAGACCATCCATTTATACAAAATTGATGCCTCTTTACCCAAAAATGCTTCATACTAAATTTGAGCAAAATCAAATAATTATTACAGAAATAGGATTTTAAAGAATTTGCTCTAATTCAGGCCAGTTGAACTAATAATAACTTCAGGAGGCCCATAACAAGCTTGCTTTTCAAGAGGAAGAGGCACAACCCTCATAGTAATCTTAGTATTATAGACAACATGACATCCCTTGAAGATTACAAGTGATATGTACTTTACCTGGTGTGTTGAGGTTTGTGCTACTAGGAGAAAGAGCACTGAAGTTCCGAGACGCAGGGGACGGGACTACATAGCCCTGGGGGGAGGGGGATGTCATCATTGAGATTGGTGAGTGGGTCATCTGGGACCTGTAACAGATGTGAGCATTCATTATTTAGAATTTAATAAAGAACCTGAAACAAAAGGGAGCGTTCATTATCTCAAATATAATAAAGAACATGCAACATATGCCAAATTTAATTCAGGACCTGCAACCTGTGGGAATATTCATTACCATAAATCAAATGTAGTTTGTATTATTTAATAATTATTAAATATCTGACAGTTTACATTAATCACTTTTACGATTAGATGTAAATCATAAAATACACACAACCTGGCCATGTTAATTTCCTCCTACCTAAAACACCTTTATTTTACAATCCTATTTTAATATAACTACTGGTTATGGAGTAATAAATTGACATATCTGTGAGGGTGCCTTCTTCAGAATGATCATCTTCCTACTAAGAAAATTTTAATTGCCAATTTTTTCCTGGAGAATGATCAGTTTTCTACCAAAAGGTTTTGTTCATATGTCTCAAGTTTAATTACTGTATAATCATTTATTTTTGTGGGAGTTTTATTTTCAAAGCTTTCATTAGTACTCTTCATCTATAAATTCATAGGTACTCTAAATCCACAAACTGTTGAAATTTGTACAAGCGGATTTATTCAGCTACATTATCTACAAAATCAAGTGTCCATGAAAGGGCCTTTTTTTTTTTTAAAGAAAATTGAAAAAATTGAGATCTATGAGAATACAGGATTTACACTTAACCAGGGTTTAATTTAACATATACAGCAATGAAATAGCAGTGATGTAGATTTTTCTAATTTACAGAGCAGTTTAATAATATATAGTTCTAAATACAGTCAAATTGTTGTAAGGAACTACCAAAATAACTTTGAGACTTTGAATCATGCATGATGGGTTATATTGACGTTTTCATGTCATGGCTATATAAAGTTAATGACACAATATTTCTACCTGAATAAACACAACAATTATCAAAAATACAAGTTTAAATGGAAAGATGCATTTTTATTTTAAAACACAATATTTTCATTCAAGAAAAAAAAAAAGAAAACCCTCCGAATTTAAAAATTCTGTAAACTAGACCGAACTAAATGCCATTACCACAATGGCAGCTGTGAACATCACACAACATTCAATTATCTTTGATTTAAATATCATGGCTTTTAATTAACCAATTAAATTCTAATCTGTGTCCAGTCATTAATTAACCTCATAATACAGAGCCAATGATAGCGGGCTATGGTAATCCCATTGTCAGGTAGCATTCTTCATTAAAATGTGTGAAATTTTGCAGCAGCAGCAGGAAAATACCTGCACAGTGCAGGTAAATGCTTTGTTCGAATCATCATGTATCAATGACTGTGTTATCATAGCTTACGGTGCGTAAAAAACTTTGATACATCAAAAAAGTTTGATTTATAAATCTTTGATTGATAAAGGGGTAAGTAAGTAGTAATATATAAGAATAAAATTCGGGACAAAACAAAAACTTTGATACATCAAAAAATTTGAATCATCAAAGTTTGATTCATAGAAGTTTGCCTGTACATTGCTTTATAATTCAAAATTTTGAAAGTCAAACAGCAATAAAAAATTCCACCTCAAAAGTATTTCATTTCAGACAACAATTACATGGTGTTCTAACATAACTCTACAGACTACTGACCCTGTTGACTGTTGGATAGGGGAAGGAACAGCTGATGACACGGTGCTGGCCTGAGACATCATTTGTTGAGGCTGTGCCTGCTGCCCAATGTTCTGTGCATATAAAACAGATAACAATATGCATCATTTTCCAACTTTCTTCTACTTTTAAAAATTTTCAAAGTGAATTTTCCAAGCCTAATTTTAGTGTGGTCCAATTTCTCAGATTCTGAAAAACCACAAACCATTGTTGGGAAGGGATCCAGCCTAACAACCTCAAATCTTCACCTGATGTTTTATTTGGCTGATACTTGACTAACTGAGCAATTGTGGCCCCCTCATTTATTATCATTTTCTCTAATAATAAGTGACTTTTTGTAATATGTTAGGTTCCTAACTTACCCCCTGAGGGAAGTTTCCAGGTTGGGACATGGGTACCCCCTGGGGTCCAGGTCGCTGTTGTCCTACAGGCATGTTCTGGTGTTGGTACTGGGACTGTTGTTGTTGTTGTTGCTGCTGCTGCTGAAGAAGAAGACCAACTCAAGATCACTGCTAACTTATCACAATATTAATATCATGACATGGCCTTTCTTCAGGGGCCTGAAATAAGCCCAATTGTCAACTGAAAGTATTCCATATTTAAGCCAAATTTCCAAAATTTGCGATTTCCTTTTTAATTCACCAATTTTCTTCTAAAAATGAGGTAAAAATGCCCCCATCCCAAACAGTGAAGAAACCCTGAATGATTATTAAATACATAATAAAAACAACATTTTATATATTAATTCTTTTTCAAGTACATGAAGACTGTTACAAATCATTCTTGAAGACATCCAAGATATTTTACTTTGCTTTAAGGTTTGCAACTGTTCCGAAGAGCAGGTTTCTCATAAAATATAATCACAAAATATATTGCCAAATAAATTTACTACTGAACCTGTGTTTTTAAAGAAGAGTTACCATTTCATATTATCTACAGTCCAGATCAGTGGGAAAAAAACTATAAATGTATTAAACATGCAGATGTCATATGTATTTGCAGTTTCATAAATGTTTGGATGGGAAATTTTCAGTTAAGGAAACTTTTGATGTAGTGAACTTTTGATGTAAAAATTTGAGAGTCAAAATTTAAAAATTCAACAGATTTTGTTCTGGTTGTAGGAGACATACTGGGTTGGCACTGGCCGGTAGCTGTTGGGCAACAGGCTGAATCTGAACCTTGTCAGCAGATGTCACAATGAACGCATCCTGCCTCTGAAACAATGAAATATCACCAAGCATTTTCTTAACAAAATATACTGTGGTTCTATTATATAAAAAATAAATCATCTATTGCATACTAAATGTATGAAAAATCTCTAAAACCATACTTGCTTCAGTGAAGAAAAACAGTATTTCATTATCAATTGAATTTTAAGAAAAAGGAACATGTAATTAGTCTGGAAATGCAATATTCTGACTAAACAAAAGGTCTACTGGCCTTGATGGTCACATGGTAACATTGATGATTTCCAAATGGAAATAAACAATGTTATGCTCAAAAATGCAATTTTTTCCATAGAAATTACAGTAAGGTTAACCTCCTCCACAGGAAGAAATGTGAGGCCCATTTTGGTAATTAATGCATCTTAAGACACTTCCATCCATGACGGGCTTTTGAATCTACCATACCTAAGTGTTGAGATGAAGATTTTTGAAATTTAGGTCAATCTGGCTCCTTTTGACCCTGTCCATCAGCCAATGGGGGTAGGTCAGGATCAATATATACATATCGTCCAGTCATCATCCCTTGCTCGTAACTCTAACAAAGTTTGAAATATTTCTGATGGAAATTAAACAAATTGTGCTCAAAAACCTAATTTGATTATATAAATTTGAGGCAATTTGACGCCTTTTGGCCCCACCCTTCAGACCCGCGGCCATGAACTCTAAGGATCCTAAAGTAGTCTTTTCTTAAGCTTGAGATCTTCACATATGAATATTCTTGAAAGAGTTTGACCTCTATAATTAACTTGCACTCTGACAGATTAACATTTTCAAAATTATGACCTAGACCTTGACTGCAATATCATCAGCCTTGTGACACTAAATGACCTACAATGAGAGACTTGCATGATATTTATATTGTGACCTTGACCTTTATCACTCATATTAACTTGTGAATCCTGACCTGTAATGGTGGTCGCTGTTGTTGCATATTGGCCATGTTACGTTGTTGTTGTTGTTGCTGTTGCTGCTGTTGTTGTTGTTGTTGCTGTAGTAACATGTGTTGCTGCATCAACTGTTGTCTGTGTTGCTGTTGTTGCTGTTGCTGCATCTGTGCCTGTTGCTGAGGAGTCAGTATTCCTGTAAGTAGCTATAGTAATTAAGGATACACATCAAATAAAAATCCCTTCCACAAATAAAAAAATCCTCACACTCCAATTGCCATTCAATTTCAAAATAATGAAACATGTTTGTCATTGTTTGATAGGTGACATGTTTAACAGGAAAATTTTCATATTTCTTGGCTAAATTTTGGATTAACTACAAAAATAAGAGGACATGAAAATCTCATTGACATTGTATGGAAAGGCAGCACAATGGCAACAAGGGTCTGTTTATTTCTTTGTGACTTTACGTCCTTACAACAGCCAGTGTTGTATGGTGACCATGATGTCTATCTATGAGCCACCAACATACTTTTATAGTGCCTTCACAGTAAAATGTCAATACATTGACAATGTAGCACAACACCATACCCTGTCACAATATAATGACTAGAGGGACACTTTTATAGTGTCATCACAATGAAATGTCAACACGTAGACACTGTAGCACAACACCATACCCTGTAACATTATAATGACTAGAGGCACACTTTTATAGTGTCATCACAATGAAATGTCAACAAGTGGACACTGTAGCACAACACCATACCCTGTCACAATGTAGTCATTTTAGGGCCACTAGGATGTCATCAGTGTCATACCACTGAAATATCACCAACACATGGTACCATGACACTTACTCTTGTCATATTATACTAAAAATGGGCTATTAATTGTTAATACATATCATTCCATGCCAAGTAACAAAAATTGAGCACAAAGTTCAATTATAACTAGAAATTGTTGGCCAACAATTTGACACGCTTTTCACCTATACACAACATCTTACCTAAAGGTCAATAATTTCTATAAAGATGATAGCTAACCATTCAAGCAATTTATACACTAGATATCTAGACAGTGCAACATCAGATAATTTATTTGTGTTACCTAAAAAAGAATTTTTTAAAAGTGACCTCTTCCTGAAACGGAAAGTTGACATTTGACACAATATTTTCTTACAACTATCGTATGCAATATGCAAATGATGAAACCTTATCACCTTGTTCCTCTTAGTTTTTTAAAAGAAGTTACTTTAGATATTTAAACAAAATTTTCCCATGTGACCTTGAAAGAGGGTCAAGGTCATTCATATTATCAAACCTGATAACAAATAACTGGGACATCTTGCATGTGAAATATCCAGGCTCCACACCTTATTGAACTTGATAAGAAGAAGTTTTACATAAAGTTTGTTACCTAAAATGGTAATTTTCAACTTTGACCCAAATCAAGAACTGAAGAGTATTTGATTCTACAATATTTTGATGTTGAGGAGAAGATTTTTGAAATCTGAGTCAATTTGACACTTTTAGGTCCGTCCCTCAGGTACCTGTGGGGTGGGGACCATATTAACTGTTTTTTTAGTTTATCTAAGGCCAGGGAAAGTTTCAGCAAAATTTCATTGAAATTGGTTCAGAGGTTTTTGAGGAGAATTCAAAAATGTTAAATTGTTTACGGACAAAAGGGGGTCGCAATAAGTCACCATGAGAACTTGTCTCAGGTGACCTCAAAAGCTGCTTAAACTTCTTTCATACCTGATGCACCTTTTCTGATAAATTGAAAATCACCTTCATATCCATTGTCAGGTGAATAACTTTATACTGTGAAATGAATAATTTTAGTGCTCATTTGATATTAGTGGTTTTCGTGCCAAGACATCAAAGTGCTGAATACATATGACTGCCAAAACTTCCATGATGCTTGAAACAGATCAATGAAAAAGTGGAAACTGGAAAAACAATTTATTAACACCAATAATTTGTACAAAAGTCCAGTAACAATGTCTAATGATTTGGACAGTTTGTGTTTTACATCACATCTAACATTCCTATAATCTACCTAGAGGAGCTTTTTGTTTTGTGTGATGGCATCATCATGACCTCTCACAAGCAATGCAGTGTGAACAGGTAAAAATTCTATACTGCCAACGGAATGAAAAACAATTCATACCTGGGAGCTGCAATAATTGATTCAGTATCTACATTGACACATATCAAAAAACCAGTCAACCGTACCCGTAACTCTGTTCACCTCTTCTGACTGCTGAGATTATGTTGTAAATAGAACAGGAATACACCACTTGCACAACTTCAAAATTTATGCTGCTGTTTCCCAGTGCTAAATTTAACTGCGTGAAAAAGGTAACAAGACCCCAGAGCGCTAAATATAGACTGTGCCAAATTAAATTCTTTTACAGTATTAACGTCCAGTCAATCAAATTGATATATCCAGTCAGCACATTATTTCCAGAAATTATAGAACTATGTAACTACCTGTTTGCTGGCCAGACACAGTTGTGCCTTGCATGGCAAGATTCTGAAGGGCATTGATTGGGTCCTGCATTGGCTGTTGTTGCAGTCCTGTAGCGCCACCTTGTGGCATACCCTGTTGTTGAGAATACATCATCCCTCCTGGACCCATCCCTTTCTTTTCCTTTTCTTTTTGGGCATCTATGAGGAACAAAGAATTTAACTTTCTCCTTTATCATTTAAAATGTAACCTGTCTGAATCTTTACGAACTTTCATTTTTTAGAAAATAAAAATTCAGCATATATTTTTTGATGCCACTTTTTCAGTGATTGGCATGAAGTTTTTAAAATTACTACATTGATGTATTTAAACACCTACAATTTCAATCTAAATCCATTTTTCTATTTTCTAAGTCAAAATGTTAAATCTTAGTATTTTTCCCATTTTATTCTGTTTAATTTCTGTTCTCTATGAAATTCTCTTTGACAAATATTTAATATGACAACTTCATATTTTATTGAAAGTTAAGGAAACAACCTTAATAAACCTTTACTATGCACCAGGCACTTACTTATTCCTTTGACGTGGAGGATAAGTCTAGCTACAAGTGCTAAGTACTCTTCCTGAAATGACACAAAACAAAACCGTAAAAATATATGCTTTCTTTTACAAGATTTCTACCCCAGTTAATGATGTCTATTTTTCTTCAAAAAAGTTGTACAGATGAATACTTTACAACAACAATTTTTAAAATCTGAAAAAATTGTATACATGTTACATATCAGTATTACACAAATCATGTGTACTACACTTAGGCAACTGTTGTAAAACAAATAAAGTTTATATTTTACCAAACTGAAAACGTACATATGCAGTCCATACAGGAAGCCCATTTTCTGAAAGTTTTTATATGGTTAAACACTTACTCTGGTCTTGGCTTTAAGAAATACATGGTTTTCCATTTCCATGCTAGATTTTGTCATGGGTGTAGCAGCCATTCTCACTGCTTCGTCTCTATGAAACGTATAAAATACAAACATAATATTCATTTAACTTTCTGAATACACATTCAAGACATTTATAACAATATTGAATTTGATTGCTTGCTGGGTTGGTCATTTCACATTATTTTGAGGCTAAGTAATAACTAGAGTCGAAAGTTTCTTTCCCCAAGGACTCAAACACATACGAATAGGGTGGTCTGTGAAAAACATAAACAGCTACAGGTAGGGAACAATGAACCATGCACTTCAGATGTTCACCTTAGGTAATGTAAGCCAATAAATATCATGGCCCCTAGAAATATCCAATAAATCACACTATCATCAGACAAATACCATGTAATAACTTAGCCCCAGACAGTTCACAATCAATGACTATCAGACTTTTATCAATATGTATTAATATATTAATGTAAAAAGTATGAAATGCCTCACTGAGTAATAGCAAATAGCACCCTTCCAGACATTCCTGATAAGCACCCTCTTAGGTAGCATCAGACACCTACCACACAATACATGACTTTGAATAAATTGAAGTTATTATGGTTCATTGAGAAATACAACTTAACACCAATCCTAAGTTTTGGAGAGAATCATCAACATAAGGTAATTGTAACAGGTCACATGAACAGCATGCACCATCACTTAGGCCAGAAAAGGGTAAAATCCCTCTCTTGCAAATAAAAATCTAGTACAATCCACAACAAAGAAACACCTCAACATCTAAAAATCATTCTCCATGAACTTTACTCTCTTGTGTTTTTAATATTAAAGCTGGTAAAGCAAATTGTTGCCATGGAGAAAACAGATCCTTGTGTGACCTTTTAACAAAATCAGGTCAGATCTTATCAGAGCAGTTTGGCAAACTGACCTAATTACTTTCATTAGCTGTGAATTAATCAAGATACAATTAATACCTCTTGAACTACAGACTGAAAACTCAGTCACACTGACAGTATCCATGGATGAAAGTAATCTATACATGATGTGACAACTGGCAAAACAGACACTGTTGATCTAAATATATAGAGCCAGCAGGTAAACAAGTGAATCCTGGAATTTTTGTACCAAACCATTTTTGCACTAAGAATCTTTGTACAAAGTCGTCTTCACTTAGGGAATATTTGTTCAATAAATCAAAGATAGGAAATTAACAAAATGTGAAAAAAGAACAGAAAGTGGTGCATGCCACAACACTAGAATCATGTTATATTTCTATGATTGAAAGAAATTACATAAAACGAAAATGAATACCGGTACTTCAATGATAAATTTCTTAAAATAATGATAATTACAAAAAATCCTTTTTTGAATGGTGAAAAATATTATCGTATGTTGTTTAAAAAAAATTCAGCTGAACCTGACTCTTCTGAAATGGCTACATTGTGTAAAACAAACAACAGTACCTAAGCCAACTGAAAATGGACCGAACCGTATATATTTTTTCATTTTGGCAAATAATTTATGTTCCATCAACAAAGACTAAAAACACAATACATTAAATGAACTTAAAAAGGAAATTAAACACAAAAATGTTTTTTTGGGCAGATAGCAGTGATCCTGAATTCATAGATAAGACATAATATCATTTCCGATGACTATTTTCAAAAAACATTTCTAAAGTGCATTTAAGCTTATTTAAACCATTGTCTCTGAGGAGTATAGTCTAGTGTCTGATGTGATGTTTTAGTGTAACAGGATTGAGTAATGAAAACACTCTGCCATCACCTGGGGTACAAACTAGCAACCTTCTAGCTGTACACTACGCTGCTTGACTAAATGGAAATTCTCACTAGTTTCTTAACATCCTCACAAATCGAAAGATGTGCCAAACCTGCCATTCTAGCTGGGTCCAAGGAGGAACTGTATATTCAGAACATGTATGAAATATATGGCAAGTTATATACAATGTAATCTGCGAGTAAGTCACTCTTATCATATAAGCTTAGATATATCAATATCCTTACTGTATACAAAGTATATTGCAACTTGCCCCGTGCCTGGCCGCCAGCTGGGACAGTGTTTACAATCAAGTCAATGGGAGTGTTTAAAACGAAACTTAATATTCACTTGTTTATGAAAAAGGTATAAGATAATGAGGGTTTTGCTTGAAGCCTAACATGAATGTCTGATAACCACTTCTTTCTTACATCTGAGCGATGACTTTACGTCGGAAAGCTTCACTGCGCCAATCTTCCGCCATTTTCGTTTTAGTGTGAAGAGTTGTATGAAGGGAAGTAACTCGTCTTCGATGTACGTTCTAAAAAATAACTAACTATATATCCGTTTTTCGGTCTATATATAGTAAGAGTGTCAGTAAAACACACGATGAATCAGTCTACGGTACTGCAAGCGTATATAGGGACATGTGACGGAAGTTATGTTGAAGTCGTATCTTATGAACAGTTTTTATAATAGTAATAATAGCTCTACAAAGCTCAATGTTTTATGGTTCAAAAACACATATTTAGAAAAAAAAATCTTGTATCTTGTAAGTGTTGCGACAAAACATAAAAAAGTAAACAGACCTTTACATTATAGACATGCAGAGCTAAAGAAAAGCAACACAAGCATAGCTGTAACATTAGAAGTAACCAATGGAGTCACACATCTTAAGGACGTGGAAAGAGGACATAAAAAGGACCTCTTTCACGAACAATGGGATTTTGTCCACGATCCGATTTAATCCAAACCATGTGGCATTTATAGCACCCCAATACCCCCCCCCCCCCCCCGGAAATAGCACTAAAATTTTTCAAAAGGCCCATAGGGCCTGAATTATTATAGAATTTGTGACATTTACTGGGGTATAAGGTAAGGTTCAGAAATGGCTCCATAACAAGACAAGGGTTCATCGTAAGGCTTCTTATAACCACTTATTTTGTTCATTGGAATTTATTTGTTAATTTAAGCAAACTTTACTTGTCGTCAAATTTGGCATAAGAAAAAAGTTATGATCAATTAAATAAAGAAAAATGTGATTTTTTCTTGATTTTTAGAACATAGTTTGATCTTAGGAGGAGTGTTTCAAACTCTTCCTGTTTCAGTGCACCCAAGTGCTTTTAATATAATTTGGCCCCTTATATTTGCTGTTCTTAGCCAAAAAATCGAAAAAAATCGTGACCGGTAAGTTTGTCAATTAGCAGCTAAATTGCGTGGAGTCAGAATCTCGAAAGTGACATCATGTGATTGATATGATGTTGAGATATATTTCTTATCTTGGTTTTTGTTCTTCAAAATATGAAAGAGAGATAAAGAAAGTTTAGAGATGACATTGGATATATAAACATCTTTGTAAGTAAAGTAAGAGGCCTGGAGGGCCCGTATCAGTGCTTTAGATCAAGTCTCTTAGAAAACATATTCAGTATGCACAGTAAAGTTACATATTTCGTTATGAACATCTACCAAGTAGAATAACACACTACTTGTGTGCACCTCATTCCATTTGACTTTATTTCATTAGATATATCTGGTAAATTTGTAGTTATATAAAAAAGAGAAACTGTAACCGGTAATACTATTTGTAATACATGGTCAGAGTCTGGAAATGTAAGCTATATTTTAAAACAAATGTAGCTTTTGACTGTCATCTTTTGATGCATGAATGTATGATCAGCTGTTGAAGTGAAAATGGGTCGGAGAACATAACAAATATGTGTCTGGCGGGTTAATGTACTTAGTGCCAAATGCCGCTGTTTTCTACTACAAGAGTTCCTCGGAACTGTATGTGTCGCCTGCATAAAGTGTCACGGTCACCCAGAAATTGAACTGGATGTGCAACGATCAACCATAAAGTTGTATTACCAAATTTCATTTCTATAACTTGAAGCATAAAGGGAAAACTGTACAAAGCAATATTCCTGAGAAATTTTCCAAGTTCAAAGGGGTATAACTCAGCCAAGAAGGGTTACAGACAGCCAGCAATCAAACTTAATCTGTACCCTTGCAACAAGAAGCCATATATCAAATTTCATTTCGATAACTCAAAGCATAAGCCAAAAAAGTCCGGAAAACCATATTCCCAGGAAATTTTCTAAGTTGAAAGGCGCATAACTCTGCCTAAAAGGGCCACAGACAGCCGGGAATCTACCTTAATCTGTACCCTGGCAACAAAAAGCCATATGCCAAATTTCATTTTGATAACTCAAAGTATTACTGAAAAAAGTCCGGAAAACCTTTATACGGACGCCGACGACGACGCGTGACGTCGGACAAAGTGATCCCTAAGTGTCTTCTAAAGTGATTTCTTTATTTTACAAGAATAAAAGAGAACATAAGAAAGACATTAAAGATTAAAGGTTTTAGTAAAGATCTGAATGTATGTATAAAATTCCCTGTATAAATATTCAGTAAGAAAGTAGTTCCGACGCACGCAAAAACATACAGTGTATTTCCGCTCGGCCAGAATACAGCAAAAGTATATGTAGCAGCTGTATTCCATTTACCGAAGCCCATGCAGTTGCAGGATAAAAAAATGTTATACTGTTGAGTTAAAATCCATAAATTCAATGAATCTGTATTGTAAATCAGCCATCCACTTGAGCCAGGTTATTATAGCCTTATTCCTATAGTTAAACGTGGGCGATGCCTATGAAAATGGTATATCTTAAAGAACTGATATGGGCCCTCCAGGCCTCCTTCTTTACTTACAAGGATGTTTTATATCCAATGTCATCTCTAAACTTTCTTTATATCTATTTCCTATTTAAAGAACAAAAACAAGGATAAGAAATATATCTCAACATCATATCAATCACGTGATGTCACTTTCGAGATTCTGACTCCACGCAATTAAGCTGCTAATTGACAAACTTACCGGTCACAAATTTTTTCAATTTTTTGGCTAAGAACAGCAAATATAAGGGGCCAAATTATATTAAAAGCACTTGGGTGCACCGAAACAGGAAGAGTTTGAAGCACTCCTCCTAAGATCAAACTTTGTTCTAAAAACAAGAAAAAAAATCACGTTTTTCTTTATTTTATTGATCATAACTTTTTCTTATGCTAAATTTGACAAATGATGTTTGCTTAAAATGACAAATAGATCCCAATGAACAAAATAAGTGGTTATAAGAAGCCTTGCGATGAACCCTTGTCTTGTTATGGAGCCATTTCTGAACCTTACCTTATACCCCAGTAAATGTCACAAATTCTATAATAATTCAGGCCCTATGGGCCTTTTGAAAATTTTAAGTGCTATTTCCGCGGGGTGTATTGGGGTGCTATAAATGCAACATGGTTTGGATTAAATCGGATCGTGGGCAAAATTCCATTGTTCGTGAAAGAGGTCCTTAGTACATATTCATCAAACTTATTTCAGATTACCCATCACATCAGATTCCTATCACACGACAGAATGATTTGGGGGACTAAATTCCTATCATAGCAGATCACAGAACTGTATATAGATTCTATAGAGAATATTTTAATTGTGCCTTGTGCACTCGTGAAAAATAAAAAAAGACACTCGAGCGGTTAAGGTTTAAATAGACTAGAGACATCTTAAATAAGGTTAAGTAAAACAAAAGTTAAGAACAGATCTACACACTAAATAAGTTACACCTACAGATTTGACCATTTCTGGCATGCAACATCCTCCGAAATGTTTTGTAATTCTCTACCTTTTTGGCATTTATCTATACGAGAAGCGCCAATGTAGTTATCAGCATCTGGTAATTTGATGTGAATGGAAACAAAGAAGCCAGCAAAGTTTATACAACAAGTAGTCTAGACTGTGATTAACAGGAAATACTCTAGGCAGTGAAAAACACTGCCGCCGTTGAAGTTCGAACTAGTGACCCTTCGGTTACTAGCCAGGCACTCTACCGCTCGGCCGAGTAAAGGAAAATCCACACCAGCCAGTTTCGTAGGGTGACCTGCATTCTCAACTTCTACATTGATCTCTTCACTCCTTCACAAAGTCCTTGACTCCGAACGGACAACAGCAACCCAAGTTCTGAAGTTCCAAGAAAGCATTGCAACCTCTTATAGCTTCTACCTATGGACTGGCCAACGACACCAAGTATGTAATAGGAAGGAATAATGAAAAACACACAGCCGCTGTTGGGGTTCGAACTAGGGAACCTTACTTCGAGCAAGACGGGCGATCCGTCTACCGCCCACCAATAAGCCAATTATAGTAAAGTGACACGTACTCTCAATTTCTACAGAATCAGAACAGACATTGGGAAATTACACGAGACTACGTAATCTGACTAACAAATGTTAAAAAATCCCTGTCAGAATATTTTAGGAAGAGTCGTGATGAGGGTCCTAAATCTAAATATAGGGATTTCCAGGAAGCCATTAAACTGTTTCTATCTAAACAAAATCTGTCAGTTGTGATTATAATGGTATTCTATGTGGGAAGGGTAAAGATTGCTAACACTAGATACATATAACTAGATATATTTGAAATCTTCAATTTATTTTTTGCAAACGTTTCAAAAGATATTGGAGGAAATCTTGAAAACGTAAATTGTTTAAAGAATCAACCAAGGATGATTGAGTTTACAGAATAGACAGTCATAAGTCACATGGCGTCTTTATAGTTAAGGTAGATGACCGTCAAGGTCCGTGGGACCCTTGTTGTTTCTACTATCAGTACTGGTGTTACACTTGTGTCTTTATAGTAAAGTCAGATGACCGTCAAGGTCCGTGGGACCCTTGTTGTTTCTACTGTCAGTACTGCTGTTATACTTGTGTCTTTATAGTTAAGTCAGATGACCGTCAAGGTCCGTGGGCCTTTTGTTGTCCCAACTGTCACTACTGCAGTTCCAATGGGTTGACACGCATTAGCGGGACATTATCAAACTTGTTATTTTTCCATACCTTTCCAGACCACAGGATTTGACATGAATTCCCAACCCACATCCCATATATATGGATTATAGTAGTCCCTATGTCCTGGACAGTCTAAGGTACGCTAGAGTAATCCCTACTATTAAGAAGGTTAATCCACAGACCAGTTTAAGTGTGCTTCCTAGTATCTGTAAAGTGTATGAAAGACGTATCTGTGATCATGAATGTGAGTCTGAGGTTCAGACTCGGGCCTAGGGTGACTGGCTATGATAGGGAGTCCCTCGTCCGCTGAAAGGCCGAAAGGCTGTTTTAGGGAATAAAACACCATGAATGAAACAAATAAATCTCCGTATACATATAAGGAACCATGTGTTGCGGTCCTTTTACAGTAAACGTGTATGCTAAGGTTTTAACAGTTTTCATCTTTCAATGCTATTGTTTAAACATGTCTGCTTGTTACTTTTATCGATTAGGGTGTCTGCATGTTTCATTTTAAATCGACGGAGAAATCCAGTTAACCAGAAAATCCGATCACTTTTTTTTTCATTTTACGCTCTGTACATTTCTTCTTTGCTCATCAAAGAAATGAGATATTACGTCATCAGTATAGTTATGAAGAAGAGCAAAGGCGAAGGTATGAATTGAGATGTGTAGGGGACATTTCTTACAGGTATTTTTCTTGGCATTTTGGGCAATTTCGGTGTAATTTAAGTGATAGTAATTGTAGGAAGGGACATGCCAATATGTTCCAATGTCCCCACGGTCGTAAGAGTTTCCCCATAACGAGGATACAAAAGCGAGAAATGTTCCCTTAACTACGGGACAATCGCTTGATCATGTGTAAAACGCCCGACAAGTATAGCTCGAAAGAGGTCATGCATATGACCATTTATCTTCTTTGTTTCGTTTACAAACCACGAGTGAACAGGCATCCAAAATGTTAAACATTAAAACCGCACATAAATTGTACCATATGTTGCCATTCAGCGCAAATAAATTGAAATTTGAAAAGTATATTACGAAATGCGTAGATAAGTTGAATCTGGAAACTTTTAATCCGAATGTGATTTATATTTTCCGTGTACGGATGTATGTCACAAATTAAATGTAATACCCCTGGGCTTGCGTTTTTCATTGCTACGCCACTCAGATATAAATTGTGATGTCAACTGGAGAATGACGCTAAGTCATGAATTGAAAATGGGACAACAAAAGTGCTGCCTCCTAATTTTGTCCATTATCTGTTCATTTTGAAAAGGCATCAAAATTTGATGTAATTAAAAAAATATAATGACTTATGTGATCAAAATGTACCTGATTTGGTCCACTTCATGTGCGACTGATATTGTATCAAACTCTGTTCGAAGTTTTAATTTCTGTTTACTGCACAGGCTTGCCAAAATGATAACCTCTGATATTGATTTTATAAAATCCCAAATGAAATGAAGCTGGCTAATTTAAGCTAATATATTCAAAGAAACGAAGTACTGAGAGCTGTTATCCATTCAGACTCTCTTTCTGTTCTACAAAGTCTTAGCAATAGAAATATCGAAAATATTTTCATTCGTAATACCTTAATACTATATATCATGAACTTGCTTTGAACGTTCGTATTGGAATATTGGAATACCAGGCAATGAAAAAGCAGATCGTGTCGCAAAGGAAGCTTTATCGCTACCACCTGTTATTTTTTTAAACTTCATTTTACCGATTTTAAACCATCCATTAAACACATTTTAAAAGCCCAGTGGCAGGAGGATTGGAATACCTATACCAATAACAAATTGCACTCCGTTAAACCGCTGTTATTGGTCTCCATGCTATAGAGACAACCACCGAGACGAAGTTGTCCTTGCCCGTCTTCGGATGGGTCATACATACCCGTTACACATTAATATATGTTGAGGGGCGGAGATAATCCTTGGTGCATAGGATGTGATTAGCCATTCACCGTTAAACATTTTTTTATTGGACTGCAGTGACCTTCTGTCTACCCGAGAACATTTTTATCGTAACATTACATGTCTAAAATTCCTTTTTGAAACTGTTGAGATTTGTAAAATTCTACATTACCTGAAAGATGTTGGTCTATATAATAGACTAAGACGTACCATTTTAATCTTTTGTGTTAACATACCCATTTAAGATTTTTAACATTTGTCTTTCACCTTTTGGTTTGTTTAATGTTATTTCCTTTTGGATCGCTGTGTGTTTTACCATTTGATGGCCCTGGGTCGTTAAGAATATATTATTATTAATAATAATAACAGTATATCCCTGATCTTGGTCACGCCGGGTTGCATAATTTCCTGAAGTAGAACGCCACGGTTTCTAGTTTAATTTCCTGTTATTTCGGAAACTGAATCGACTCTTTTAAGTGAGGCTAACATCAGCGAACTACAAACATCGTTGCCTGTAACATGTTAAAGAACAATAAAATATCGTTATGTGTTATAGACTTCTTAGTAGATTAGGGACATTAATGAGTTCGTTAATATGGCGATGATGGTTGAAAAAGGATAGTTATTAGTTTCCTATAGCTATCAAGATATTCAGTTATAAAAATGATACCGGCGTCATCTATCGCGGCAAATGAAACCGTGGAGGCCGGAATAGGGAAGCTTAACGATATTGATGTCGATGCGTGCAGAGAACTGACGAATCAAAAACGACCACCTGTCACAAGTACTCTCCCTTGTCAACAGATGGCGCTGCAAACCACACTTCCTGGACATTCGCCGGTTTGGACAAGTAGTCAAAACATGTTGACGGTGTGTGGTCGTGTTTTTGCAAACATGACGTTTTGTTTTTGCCACAGAAAACGTATGCTTTTCCTGTTATGCACAATTCTGTCTTTGATAACCAAATCGTTAGGTATTGGCGAGGTTGTATGGGCTGTGAATTGTGGCGGCGATGCACACACCGACATCAATGGTATCCGCTACGAGGCGGATTCTCTCAAAGTCGGAATCTCTTCCGATTATGGAAAGACGTTGATGGTTTCACGGGTGGTAGCTCAGGACCAGATCTTGTATCAGACTGAACGATATCACATGTCAACCTTTGGTTATGATATCCCTCTTAACGGAGACGGTGAATATGTGCTCGTCCTGAAATTCTGCGAAGTTTGGTTCACGTCGCCAAATCAAAAAGTAGGTGTCTAAAAGGAATCCTACATCTTTTTGTTGCCACACGGAATCTAGATAACCCTGGTTTATGAATACAAACAGTTGTTGTTAACAAACATTTATTATAGATAAGCATTGATTTTAAAATCAGTTTCCGTAATCAATATAATCTTGGCAATATTGTTTATAATTTTTATTTTAGTACCACCAGGGACGTATAATACAGAATTATCCCTGGTACCACGGTCATTTACATTGCAGGCGGGAAAGCTTGGGTCAATTGTTGTTTGTAAAGTGTCGATGGACAAAAACTCCTCTGTTGTATATATTATTAACTTACTGCACAAAACCAGACGATTTGAAACAAAAAATACATTAAAATATTTGAATTGATACAGGAAGTGAAACAAAACTAGTTATTAATATCAGGGACGTGTATAACTGTATTTTACGTCCCTGATTATATACAATAATAAGATACTTCAAAATACATTATCCCAATGGGGCCAAGTTTGCTCAGTGGATAGAGCATAAAGGTTTTCAGCCTCAATTGAGGACTTGGGGTGTGTAGTTTGAAGATCCTTATTCTTAGGTGGTAGGGTTGGTGTTTCTCAGGAGTTCTTATGCTGTTTTTTGTTGTATTCCTTGTCAAGACGCTTTACCCCAATGGTCCAGGGTAGTATGTGAGGAGTCTACTAAAATGGGGACTGTTTGTTGATAAAAGCTACATACTGTTAAGTTTTGTTTGCATTATATGAAATTTTCTTTGTAAAATTGTAATAGATTGATTTCAGAAATACTGTCTAAAGTTTTACATGTGCTCAATAAAAGAAAATAATTTTCACAAACAATTTTTGTAAATCTAAATTAAGTTTCCAAGGTGATTTTGTTTTGTATTGTCAACAGCTATGGTATTTAAGGATAGTCTTCTGGTGTATAGGGGTTGAATTCGAAGTAAGTGCAGGAATCGAATGCATAAAGTTTTTGAAGGCTGCAATATGTGCATGTAAGACTCTTTGTGAAGGCATGGAACTGATACCAACATTATTGTGCCACCACTTGCATGAACATTGAGGTGTCCCGAGCAGGACACTTCAACTGGTCACATTGGACTGATTGATGATTAATTTCAAAGGAAAAAAACCTGGATACTTAAGAATTGTATAGTTGGTAGTGTTCTTTATGTATGTGCTTTACTGTTTTCTAGGTATTTGATGTCACACTAAATGGAGAACACACTGTCGTGGATGAACTTGACATTTATAGTAAAGTCGGACGGGGAGTGGCACATGATGAACTTATAGAATTCACAATCAGATCTGGGAAACTTAAAGTCAACGGAGAAACTTCAAAGATCAACAGCAAACTTTTAGTAGAATTTATGAAGGTATATAGTTCCACAGAAATTTTCATTTCCATTTCACATCAATGATCTTCTTAGTTCTAACTTAACAAATAAATCTTGAATGTTTTATGTGTCATATGATAGATGACATATTGTCCAGTTTTGTCTTTAAAAATTTCGAAGATAATCTGTAATTATTATGTTCAAATGATTATTTCTTAAAAAGTATTTTCTCTTTTTTTTCAGGGAGATTATGATAACCCAAAAATAAATGCAATATATTTAATGAAGGGAACAATAGATGGTATGTATACTTCTCTGATTTTCTCTGTCATCTTCCAAACCAGGCCTTTTCCAGGGACTTTGTAGGGTCAAATAAAGGACCCACTCCTGATATGGACAGATTCCCATAATATGTAATTTACTCCATCATAAAAAATACCTTTCCAATTGCGTATTTCCCCCCTAACATGAGATTGAAAAAGTACATTCCCAAAAGAGTGGAAAAAAGTCCTGCAAACTATATTAGTTTCTTTGCCAAATATAGTATTATACATGTAAAGTATACTGAATTATCAGTAAAAGACCTGTCATTTACTTATGATATAAATTAGGCGACTAGAAACAGCAGCTTCAATAGTGATGTGTAATATGTTTTTTTGATGTTGGAAAATGTTAGGAAATTGAATTGTGTCTGGCAAAACAATTTGTCTTCTTGGGTGACAATGTTGATTTGTGATTGATGCATGAATTGTGGTGTATGGGATCCTTAAGGCCATATGGAAAAATGTGTTGCTCTTTATTTTGTCTGAAAAATTATGTTGTCCTTTCTTTCAAATATACTATAACTATACAAATCAGATTTAAAAAAAAAGTTGGTTTGTTAAATGTTAAGTCCTGAATTGAACACATTTTGTTTTTTTAATGGTAATAACAAAAGTTAGCTAGGGCAATAACACAGATAATTAACATGCATGGTAAAATTCATCTTAAAAAAATAGAAATAAAGATTTTGAAAAAGTTGCCTATTGAAGGACAGGGTAGCAATATTGAAATTCTTGTTCAGCTCTGCACCCACTCAGAATAACCAAAATATTGTTAGAAATTGAGAATAATGATTTTTGATAAGTTTGAGGAGATACTTAAAATGTGTCAACAAATAAATGGAAATATTATATTTTGTAAAGGTTTGATATATGGTTATTTAGTCAGAGCAGTGAGATTAACACACATGTAGATATAATATTTAGCCTGTCAATAGAAGTTGAAAATTAGTTAATTGCTTATTAGGCTTTCAGCGTCAAGAGCATATGGTTTTTATTCCTAACCCCATTATCTTGTCTTGCTAGCTATTTTTTTTTCAATGACTTTGTATTGAATAAAAATGTTACCACATTTAAGAATGTGTAACATCTTTAGATTTAATATCTCAATTGTTATTGCAGATATTCCCAAGTTACCATCATTACCAGGAACAGAGACTTCTCGAGAAGAAGAAGAGGTGGATGAAGAGGAGGAGACATCTGATCGACCATCCAAGGCGCGTAGACCTTCAGGCCCAAAGGTCAAGGACCCTTATGCATCTGATGACACAAGTACCATGCTCCTCCCTGTCATCATGGCCTTAGGTGCTTTCATTCCTCTCCTCTTCTGCCTCTGTAAACTCTGAGGTAGTGGAGGGGGCTATATCAGGGGTGAACATGTGTAAGGTCAGAGGTCAACATGTGTAAGATCAGAGTTCATGTGTATGGTTAAGTGTCATCATGTGAAATATCATGTATGTTTGGTCTGTTTGGGCAAGAGAGGTGTTTGAGTATATGAGATAACAGACTTAAAGTTGAAGTGGTGGAGAAAGAAGGGAGTGGGTTTGAACTTGGACATCGAAGGTAATTTTTTCTCTGTGATGAACAAGTCTACTCACTAATCTTTAAAAGGTTAAAGGTCAGTTGATGAATGTTTAATGTCACAGTGTATGTAAATTTGTTTTGTGAGGTCAAATGTTATTGTATAAGAAGTGTAAATGATATATAATAATATATAAAACAAGACCATAATAGACTACAAAAATAGATACCTGTGTTTTTGGAGAAGAAAAAAAAAAAGAATAAAAATAGAATATAGATAGAATTTCCTGTGCTTAGAATTAGTTCTAATGCAAACTGGTTCATCTTTCAATAGATCTTGAATTTTGAAAATCAAAAATGTAAAAGAATGCTTTGTTTTATTTGGAGTTTAATAGATAGCCAAGAATATAGATAGATTTTCCTGTGCTCAGAATTAGTTCTAATGCAAACTGGTTCATCTTTCAATAGATCTAGAATTTTGAAAATCAAAAATGTAAAAGAATGCTTTGTTTTATTTGGAGTTAAATAGATAGCCAAGAATATAGATAGATTTTCCTGTGCTCAGAATTAGTTCTAATGCAAACTGGTTCATCTTTCAATAGATCTAGAATTTTGAAAATCAAAAATGTAAAAGAATGCATTGTTTTATTAAATGTTTGGTTTAATCTTTCTGAAGAATATGCTGCTAAGTATGTTTTTTTTCACAAACAATCTTTACTCTTAATCTCACTTAACATAACATGATCTTTGTATTTTCTTGATTAAGTGTGGATTGTCAGCTGGTATTGTCTAAAATGTCCAACTTCTTGGCTATTATATCCCTTAGAACTAGCCTGTTTCTTCGTGTTGAAATATTTTGTACAATTTAAACATCAACCTAACTTTTTTCTCCTGATTAATTATTTGTATCTGTATTGCCCACAAGTTGAGTGGTAAGCTTAATTTTTCTCTGAAAATTGGAAATGGTAGGAAGCATTTATTTGTTGTTTTTTTTTCTTTTACGATTTTAGCATTCCACTGCTATTTAGAGACTGTTTTCTAGAATACATTGGTAGTTAGCAGTATGTCAGCAAAAAATGCAGGTATATTGTTATGGTCTATAATTTTTATTGGTATATTTTGGACTTTAATATGAATTATATGTATATGTGTATATTTTATTGCCTAACAATTTTTTAAATCTTGTTTATTTTATGACTAACACATCATTTTCATTTTCATGTGTAACTGCCTGTTTAAATACATATTACTGGTAGGAAAACATATCCTTGAAGTTCAAAATGCGGGGTTCCTTGTTACAATTTTAAGAAAAAGGAACTCCGTAATTTGGAACATTGATGTCTATGCTAATTTCCGGGAGATTTGTCTATGATGTCACTCATTATCATTATCATTCTGAATATAACAAGCTACCCACAGAATTAGTATGGATGTGGAAAGTGACCACATTGAGAGAGTCTTGTAAGGCCAATATCCATATCATTAGTAATGTATGGTCTCAAACTAGATGTTATGTGTGTGAACATTAGGATTCATATCAAAACAAAAATAAGCAGGTTACACACTGGACAGAAGATTGTAACTTTATTGAAAAATTACATATTCACACTAAACACAAATGAACTGTTTATTTAATAGCTGTTCACAGTTTGAATATGATTGTATATTGGTTAGTAGTTGTGTAAGACTCATGTGAATGCTTGTCACAAACTTCTAAGAGACAAATACTAAAAATAAAGATCTATCTCCCTATAATGTTATTTCCTTAATATAGAAAATGACCCGTTTATAATCTTCTATTTCACAAAGACTTGCATGTTCTCTATATTTTCTACAACTGCAGAGTAAGCTAATTGATACATTTTCTAAATACCACTAAAAATATTTAGGTATAAATACAAATTTTCAGATGAAGGCTATTTTTCTGTGATGGATAATTTCCCTTTAATTGTGGGATCACACTCAAACATTTTTGCTAGCATTATGGCACATTTTATCTTCCAATCATATCAGGGGTCTGTTTTTATTCATAATAAAAATGACATGCCTTTGTTTGAATGGCAGAAATATTCTACACTGTAATTTTTCAACTGTATACCTAACACAAGATCATGCTATGATGTGTCTAACAGTGATATTATGAGCATGGAAATGTACAGAAAGAACATGTAAAGTATATAAAAAATTGCATTTATATGTCAGTTATCTTATTCTATGGTTGAATTAAGAATTTCAAATATTTTGTAGTTCTCTTGAATCTTCAACTGCCAATTTCTTTGTGAAATTAATGTGTTTCTCCAAATAAGAAAATTACACATCTTCCATTCCCTTTTATCTTTAAAACTTGAAATCATTTCAAGGATGTAAATCTCTTGAATCAGGTTGTTTATGCAGTTCTGCTAGTATTTAGAATCCCATTATGTATTTACACAGGTACCTTATACACATTTTTCATTTAAATGTTTAAAGCATTCGTCATGTATCATAGAAGTCTTGCAGCCTTAGAACAGCTCATCATCCAACAAAATGAGATTTTTGATAAACTTCGCATGGAGATCATGATTGGAGAGTTTCTAGAATTCATCTTAAAGCTTGCAGTAAGAAAGTATGCATAGCAATACTGAAACTAGATTGAACCAAAGTTTCATAAAAAGTATACAGGTACTTGATAGCCAGAATGATCTTTTGTTTTTCTAGCAGTTTTTATATTTACATATCATACCTCTGAACACCTGTTTCTACTTTAAGTACTGTAAACCTATTGGGCCAGAGTCAAGAATTTCTGTTTTTGTATGTTCTACTATCTTACATAGTATTGTGAAAATCTCTGTTTTGAATAAGCTGAAAACAGCAATGGACATATTCATTGTCATTTTGTCACTGAGCCATATTTTAGTCTCTGCCCTCTGGTTAACAGCGTAATTGCCAAAGACTCCTAGATATGTCTATTTTAACAAAACAGAGTTGACCTATACTCATATTTAGGAGAATCTCATATAGATCGTAGTCATAGACAGCATTATGACATCAAATGTAATGTTCTTGCATTCAATATGAAGGAAAGGCCATCACATATATTGTTTTATAATCCTGAGGATGAATAGGTGTTGAATAGGTCATACCATTTAAATATATTAGTGGCATAAGCAGGTCATACACAGTCAACTGTGTCACAACTAAATTTAAATGGGTCATTGTATTTACAGGGCACGATGGAACTACAGTTCAGGTCATATAAGTTAATGGTCACTATCAAGGGCGAGTAATTTTCGGTAAACAGAGCCAATTTTTTTTCCAAGTCATTAATGACATAGACTCTGTCAAAATGTGATGCAAGTGGGGTAGTGATAAGTAGGTCATACAGTTGAAACTAGGTCAAGCAGTGATAAATATGTCATTACTATAGTGTGATGTAGGAGTTAATAAAGTAATAACTAGTTTATGTAATGATAATTAAGTACTGTAGAAGCAAATATGGTGTGAAGTGCTAATTAGGTCATCATACAGTTGAAACCAGGCAGTGTGGTAGAAACTAGAATGTGAAGTGGTAAGTAGGTCATCACACATTTGAGACCAGGCAGTGTGGTAGAAACTAGAATGTGAAGTAGTAAGTAGGTCATCACACATTTGAGATCAGGCAATGTGGTAGAAACTAGAATTTGAAGTGGTAAGTATGTCATACAGTTGTAGCCAGGAAATGTGGTAGTAACTAGGGTGTGAAGTGATAAATTGGTTATACAGTTCTAACCAGGCAGTTTGGTAGTAACTAGGGTGTGGATTGGTCAGTAAGACGACACAGTGGTAGTAACTGGTATTTGAAGTGGTAGTTAGACTGCAATCAGTAGAAACTAGGTCACACAGTGATAAGTTAGGTCATACAGAAGTAAAATTATGGGGTCATTTACAAAGTGCAATGATAACCAAGGCCAGCAGTGGTCACCAAGTCAAGCATAATACATTATTGTGTAACAAAGCCAGAGGATCATTACTTTTGACTCAAAGTCAGGGGATGGGCTTATTACAGGACATTGAAAAAGTATTTGTTCGTAATTCTATAGAACTATAAAATAATATAGATGGACTAATTACCAGATAGGGACTTAATGTCATGTGCATATCGTAGTTAATTATTCAAGGATCCACTTCAGTTTTTGATCCATAACACAAAAAAATCAGTGTGTTCTATAGAAACTGCCTTTGTTTAGAGTGCACTCTGTTTTCTGTGGATGAGTTATATAAAAAGTCATTAAACGTAATACCAATAATTTTGTTGGAAATTGCAATATTTATTGTGGCCTCTGATTTGTTGGTTTCTTACACCACCGCAGAGTCCAATTAAACATTGCTTTACCAAATGACATCAATATGTTATGGAGTGACAACATGAAAAAAATGGCCAATGAAAATGCTTGTTGCACAGAAGATTAAATTATAACCGATTTGATGTAACTATAATTCAAATATTGGAAATTTTGCTGTTTGTCAAGTCAATGAAACATTTCAAGAAAACAATGATAATATCAAGAAAAAAATTAAGGCATATGTCTGGATATAACTGATTATATTTACTGTTTTAATTATGTAATTTTTGTTAGACGAAGTACACAATTGTTTTCTGCAATGTGAAGTTTGGTGTGGTTCAAACCTGTATCACTTTGGAAAGAAACTTTCAACATTGATTGTGAACGGCCTAATAAGATGTGTTGTGTGTCAGATCTTTGGAGAAATGCAGCAACTGCACTCACACACCAAGATTTTTTGTAGTGTGTGTTTTTGTACATTTTGTTTTTTCTTTATTCAGATTTAACTGTCTAAAATAATAGTGTCGTTGTTTTCAACAAAATTTCTCCCCTGCTTACAGTGATATGTCTATTCCAAATCTTTTACACGTTTGCTTTTTGACAATTTAAAAAATCATGAATATCAGAGTGAAATATTCAGTTCACTTCTGGGAAGCAAATTTTCATATGTTCATGAAAATTAAGGATAATGAAATTAAATTTATTTTGGGAGTAACACACATGAAACAAAATGCCACAAATATTTCAGGAGTGTTAATTTAAAATATAGATTTTCTTTTGGCTGTGGGTCGCCATGCTTTCAAACAAATATTTAAAGTCTTACAACAGGAACTAGACATGTATACATCTATTAGGTAATTGTGTTGTAGAACACATAAAGTATGGATATGATATTTGTTTAGATATTATTTCATGTTTAAATTGCCTGTGATTCTTGGAAATTATCAAGGTTATCTGCCTTTATTTTACCAAATTCCTCCCATTTGTGTATTGAGCTGCTAAAATGTAAATATGTACAACTTACTTAAATAAAGGAACAAATTTAACTGTCAGCAGAACTGATATTGTTGAATTTAGAATATAATAACATGAGGAAGATTTCAGTAATCCCAATAAATAGTTTGATCTCCTCATACCAGAAAACAAATTTGCAAAAGTCACAAGCTCATGATATTGATAAAGTGTCTGAGGGTTTTATCTCAGCATTAGCTACATTTGAAATATACTACCACATCAACTACTGTTGGAGTATACTATCACAATTGAATGTCCTGTTAAGTGTTATTGGTGTCCAGAAATCGTCCTGTATGACTGGTTTTATACATTAAGATGTTTTGTAATTATGAAATAATATATCTAATGTTGCCTTGTGTGTGACTGAAGTGTCTTCTTGTGATAAAATCAAGTTCTTTGTTTAAATGTTGGGATGTATGTTTCTTATTGGGATGTAAGTTCTGTTTTAATGTTGAAGGTTTGTTGTAATAAATTTAGACTTAAATATGACTTTGAATGTGAACTATCAGGAGATACATTAAATTCATCATAAGGAAGTGACTTGTCTTCTTTATTTAAATATTGTTTATGTCCTGTGATTAGCCATAGCAGTCAAGCACACTTCTTCAAATTCACTGAAAAATCTTTGTCTCAAGATCTAGATATAAATGAATTAAATTGTCTTTCATGATCCCATGGTCTTCCATTATTCATGTGGGAGGTGGTAGAATTTAATATACTTCATTAAGAAAATGATATTTTTCAGCATAAGAAATAATAACGATTTGCTCCATACGATAAACTGATCTTATGATTTACATTTACACACTGTTGAGTTTCTAAGCAAAATCTCTTGAAAATAGAAACTCAGGACTCCAGGGCCAAGTGCCATGGCAGAGTGGCCATCATCCGTGTTAACTTTTCCATTTAAACAACAACTCTTAAAATGACTTCTGACTAACAAAAAAGAACAGAAGCATGGTATTTGGCCGATACAATTCTAGGATAAAGCTTGACAGAGCTTGTGAGAAGAAATGATCTTGAGCCTGACTTGGGATCACAGGGGCCAAATTTTGTAGAAACCGTAAAATAACTTCTGTGCAGGAGCATGGTATTTCGGTGATAGGTTTCCAGGATGAATTTCAACAAAGTTTGCTAAATGAAATGACCTTGACCTTTATTCCATGGTCACATTCATCAAATTGTTACAACTTCCAAGCAAAATGTAGAAGCATACAGAATTATTTGGCTGACAGCATCGGAGGATGATGCCATACATATTTTGTGAAAAGAAATGACCTGATCCACATTGAAATCACAGGGATCGATTTTGTTGAAACTTGTAAAAGACTTTGTCTGGTAAACCAAAAGCTAAGAGGCAGGAGTTTTTGTGGAAAGATGTTTTTAGATCAAAGCCCAACAAATTTCGAGAAAAAAGAAATGGCATTTACCTATAATTGACGTCATAACTGACGCTGTTCAGCGGGCCTCTTGTTTTAATTGTAATACTTTCATTTGAAGTCTTTTTTTTGTCAAAAAGTATAATGTTAGCAAAATCTAGTTAAATTTTTAATTTTTGGCAGACAGAAGACTTTTTTATCTTATTATTATTATTACAATCTTAATGGCCTGTCAACACATAAAAGGTCATTAGGGCCATCAACCGGTGAATGACACAGAAATGGAAATAACATCAACTGAATTAAAAGGTACGAAACAAAAGTTAAAAATCTCAAAGATTAAGATGGTAGATTAAATCCTATAATAAAGACCAACATCTTTCAGATAACCTGGGCTTTTATAAATCTGAATAGTCAAAAATTGGGTTGTTAGAATTGAAACATCATGATAAAAAATTTCTCGAGTAGACAGGTCAATGCAGTACAGTATAAAACACTAAATTCTGTATCTTCGAATTCGCTAATGTGATTTACTGGCTTTAATGCAATCTGGACATAGAAGAAAACATGAGTTGGAGCAGAAGATGGGTGATATAAGAAGAGATATGCATGATGCAAGATGAGAAGAAGAGGTCCATTGGGCCTGTATCACACACCTGTTTAAGTTTGTTGAAATTGATAAATTTTAACTAATGGAATGATATTTTAAACACCTGAATCTGTTTTCATTGGCAGGCCTGGCCCCTCCTTCCCAAGGATGCTTCAGATCAAATTTAGACAAAATAGAATTATTCCAACATGGGAAGGATGTTTTTATTTCCTTTATTTCCACATTGTGTTGAAAGCCTTTTCCAAATCAAAGAAAACAGCAACCAAGTGCTCCTTTTTTTAGACAAGCCTCGTGCACAAAAGTTTCAAGTCTAATGATCGTTGGTACCTGTCTTAGATCTGAAATCGCTTTGTAGAGATGATTTTATGTGATTGGATTCCAGCTACCAAATTAATCTTGAATTTATCATCTGCTCTAGGGTTTTACATACACAACTCATGAGTAACTGGAGGGATCTGTCTTATCCTTACCCTTTTTCGGGATAGGAATCACAGTTGCCTTTTCCCATGACTTTGGAACATTACTCGATCTTAAAATATAGTTAAAAATATCAAGAAGTTTCTTCTAATGATGACTCTGTTAAATGTTTTAGAAAATGATAGCGAATATCATCAGGTTCTGTTGCAGAGTCATGTGATTTTTTCAATGATACTCAGAAGTTGAGAAGGTTGGTTGTTTCATTATTTTTGGAAGAGAATTTCAACTTTGCTTTTTCTCAACTAGACTAAAATTTTTGAAATTTTTGGAGTGATTATTTGTAGACAAAGTTTTGGAAAAATTTCGATGTTGCTAATTTCCAATTGTTTTTTGAATGATGTTTTACTGCTGATTCATTTAATAATTTCCATACATATTCAGATGACCCATTGTTTTGAATGATTCTTTTTACCGCCGACTCATTTAATCATATCCCATTTCGTTTTGGTGGATGTATTTAGAATTTCATTTGGACACATAAAATCTCAAAGACAATTTTTTGTGTAAATGTATAGCATGACAGGCTTTTGCCCTAATGCTTGTATAATTGTTTAAGCTATCGCTTGTGGAATTGTGGTATTCCGTCCAGGTAAAGCTTTCCGGTGACTATGACTATCTTAGTTTCGTCCAACATTACTGATTTTTTCGCGATGGAACATGCTGTCGTCAGTATTTTACTTTACTGAGACAGTTTTCTCTGCTTCGCCTAGACTTTCGCCTTGGATATAATACCTAATGAATCAGTGACACTGACTCTTCTGTGGTATTTCATTTTTGTGTAATATTTCAGTGAATTTGCTAGCACTTTCTTTGACTTGTTTACATTCATAAAAACACGTGTTTTGTACAGCGTATTGTGATAACATGTATTGGAATTTATTTTTGTAATTTTCTTAGCTTATTTTCTTTAATTCATTATTGTTTATTTATTTATTTTTATTTGATTTATATTTGGTTCTTTTCTTTTTTGCACTGCCACTGTGCATGCACTCACACCCATTGTTTTTTTTTGTGTAAATTTGACTTTATTCGACCTTTTGACACATTGAACTCAGGTTTTGGTTTCTGTTTGTTTTTTTTTGTTTCTGTTTGGTTGATTTCCTATTATGTTTGGGTTTTGATATATTTCTATTGTATTTCATATATTGGTTTCTTGTCGTGTGGTATTTTCTGTTTCGCTTGCAAGCCGCTTTCGCGTTATCTTTTCTTTTTCTTTTTCGTGAATTTTGCTGCCTGTCCATCTCCAGGAATTTAGTGCTGCTCCATGTGAATGTATTTATTGGTAAGTGTGGAGAATTAGCATTCTTATTTTCAGATTTTTGTCGTTATTTACTTAATACTTTTTGTATGTGTTTTCTTTGCATTTGTATTTCCTTTGTATATTTTCGTTTCTAATTTTCTTACATCTGAATCTTGTAAGTTTGATTTATCTGGATTTTGATTGTGTTTTCGTTTATTTTCTTTTGAATTTTCTTTTCAAATGGACTTTTGAATTTTCTTTTCAGATGGACTTTTGAATTTTTTTTCAGATGGACTTTTGAACTTTTGTGGGTTTTTTTGTGTGGACTTTTGATATTTCTTTCAGCAGGACTCTTACTTTATCCATGGACTTTGCTCGTGCATGGTAGTTTGCTTCATAGTAGCACTTCAAATTATTTTATAGCTGGATTGTCTTGATATTTTTTTATTTTTTTATTTTTTGTTTGTGTTTATTACCTCCAACATGTCAGACTTTAGCGAAGATGAAGTTGCAAAGCTGGTTAGCCACTTCAAGACTTTGAATGTGAAACCGAAGATGGATACCTTGCAAGACTTTAGGAATTGGATGTCTGATTATTCTAAAGCCAATGCAGAAGAGACTGACAGTAAGGAACATGTCATCAACCAGACTTACCCAACTTCTGCAATCCAACATTTCCCGAAAATTACTCACTTTTCTGGAGATGCTAAGAAGGATTCACCTTATGATGTGTGGAGAAGCGAGGTGGAATGCATCAAGAAGGAGGGCCATCCCCAGCACGCCATTGCACAAGCCATCAGAAGTTCTTTGAAGGGAGAGGCACTCCGTGTTCGCTCCAGGCTTCCTGCTGATGCTAGTCCTGATGATATCCTAGCGAAAATGGATAGTGTTTATGGAGTTGTGGAACAGTCCGAGATGTTATTTGCCAACTTTTACAGTGCCAGACAACAAACAGATGAGGATGTTTCATCATGGAGTTGCCGAGTAGAGGGGCTCTTGGCCAAGGCATGTGAGCACAACCACTTGGAGGAGTCTAAGTAGAATTCCATGCTGCGGACTGTTTTCTGGACAGGACTTGTTCCACATCTTAAGGATTCTACTGGACACTTGTACGAATGCATCACCAATTTCGACAGGCTTCGGATTTCCATACGTCGTGTTGAACAGGACCATGCTTCTCGTTCGGAGGAGAAAGTGGCCAAGTCACGTCCAGGGACTTCTAAGTCGGCTGTAGAGACTACATCCTTGGACCTTGGAGAGATTAAAGGACTGATAAAGCAGCTGACAACTGATGTCAATACCTTGAAGACCCAGACCGCTAAGGATAAGAAGAGGAACCAGAGGACAGGGCCCAATCATGGTCGTCAACAGTCTTCACAGCAGTATTCTGATCAGCAACGGAATTTCTATCAGAATCTGGACCATACGACCCAGAGAGTGGACGCTGTTCCAGCTGCTGAAGGGGAGCCTACATGTTTCCGATGTGGCCAGCCAGGACATATAGCTGTTGGTTGCCGAGCACATGTAGATAGAAGGACCGGACATCCTTTAAACACCAACAGACCTGCGTGGAGGGGCAAACGTCAGGTCTAGAGACAAGAGGGACAAACTTTATGCAGCATGCGACGAAACGTAGGCCTGCAGACCTAGTTGGTTCACCCACCGAGATTTCAGTGACCATTGAAAATTTACCTGCAAAAGCACTTTTGGACACTGGATCTACAGTCTCTACCATAAGCTACGCTTTCTACAAGCAGCATCTCCATCACTTGGAGTTAAAGCCATTGCATACCATCTTGAAGATAGAGTGCGCTGATGGACAAATGCTAC